TGAACAAAACTCATCCGTGAAAGTCTTGTATAGCTTAGAAGTAAGGCCGTCTGGTCCAGGCGAGCTTTTCAAATTCATTTTGCTTATAGCCAAGTGAATTTCATCTTCTGTAAAGTAATTATAGCCATCATTCTCATTTTTTTTGAGTTTATTTTTTGATAAAAATGTCTTTAGTAGTTGATCGGAGTCTGTTGTAGAACTATTTGAAAAAATATTTGAAAAATACTTCCGAAATTGATTAAGAATATCTTCATCCGTATGATAAACGTTCTGATCCACTTGAATTCTCTTGATTGAGTTGATTGTGTTCTTTGATGTCCATTGACTACAAAATTTGGGAACACCCTCGAATGTATAGCTGAGAGTTTTCTGAATTTTTCGATAATCTGAAAAATCTTTTTCCTTGGAAACTTTTTGAAGATGTTCCAGCACCAAATGATATTTTTCAATCAAATTAGGGTTGGGACCTTTTCCGCTGTGAATGCAATCTCTGAGAACATTTTCGTGATACTTCAATAAATTAAGTTCTTTCTGATCTACACGCTTTTTGTTCTCTTGAATAAACCTCAGAAGGTCACGAAAATTGTGCTTAAAGTTTTCGTAACTACTTGGTGATTCGTTTTCGTAAAAGTTTTTTAGGTCTTCACGAATTAAGTTGGCGTTGTTGTTTAAAATTTCTTCATTTAATTTCCAGTAACTAGGGCCGCGCTGATACAAGTTAGATGGCTTAACAAAAACGTGTAAGAGTAAATGGTCAGATATTGATATTTGAATGCTTTGCATAGAATCATACTCTGTTTCGAATTTTAAGAAGACATAATCTATGCGTGCAAAAGTTTTATGTTGTTTGTCATAATGTGTATAATCACAAAAATCATTCTTGAGTGCAAAATCAACAAAACCAAAACAGTCAAGAATTTGTTCTTTGAGTTGGGTAAATCGTTTGATACGTGCATCATTTAACTTAAGTCAGCGCATATTATCATAACTCAGCGCATTAAAGTCACCCATCATGATAATTTTCGATTTGTTAGGTAAAAATCTGATGCTTAATTTCAGGGAATTCAAAGTTGCTCGGAATGAAATTGGGTTCGCATAAACGTTGATAACAAACCAATCAAGTTTGACAAATTTTAACAATTGAAAACCTGTACTTGAAGCAATTCTTTTTGCAGGACTCAAGTTTGATGACCATAACGTTAAGAAACCACCAGAATTATTTGAGCCCGGTATGAAATCGAATAAAACATTATATTTATCCAGTAAACTCAAATGTATATTTGTAAGTTTCGATATTTTTGCTTCCTGAATGCACAAAATGAAACTGGGCGATTTTTTTAAAACTTTGATAAGTGAGTGTAATTTAGCTGGATTTCCTATGCTAAAAATATTAACGGAAAAAACATCTGGTTTTTCGCACATAGAAATTTTTGCTAAAACTTCCCTCCAGCCAAGTCTTCTCCGTTACTTTTAGATTTCATTTTTGGCCCTTTCTTCCGTGTTAAAACTGACCAAGGGGTTGGTGAATTTCACGCTCTCTTTTTGTAAGCATTCTTCCGTCAGAGGAACATTTTCGTTTGTTATTTTCGATATTTAATTTGTCTTTTTTTTCTTTTGCAGAGTAAGAATGAAAATCTACGACCTGATTGTTGAGAACCTCATCCTTTTGTTTTTCTTCGCTTGGAGTAGCTGCACTGTTTGTTTTAGATTCATCAATCAAAACTCCAGATGGTGGTGCTTCAACATTCTTATCTTCTTCATTTTCGGTACCATTACAAAACTTATCGCTTGTTGTTTCGTCATCGTTTTTCTCGTCGCTGGCATTATTGGAGCTTGGTTTTTGTGGGTAGTGATTATTTGGATTTTTGGTTATTTGGTTCCCTATGTTACACCAATCATCGTGATGACCTTTTTCTTGGCGTCCAGACATCTTGCATTTTTGACATTCATGTAGTGAAGGTATGTGAAACGAGATTTCTACACCTTCCCACATTTTGAAGCCATCCATTCTCGATTTATAAGACCAGTCCTTCAGCTTTTTCTCTTGTTCTTCGTTTTGTATTTTAACTTCTAAAATTGCTCTTCCTGTGTAAACATACTGACCCGGTTCAGTTACGATACAGGTCTCACGTTGGAATATGGGGCTATGAATTATGTCTTCTGACAATTGGAGAATTAATTTCGCTTCGATATCGTTGCATACATAAGGCAAGTTCGACAATTTGTTTTTTGCTAGTTTAGGGTAAATGTTCTTGGGTCTATGAGACCTTGGAAAGCATCCCATGGGAAATACCGTCCTGTTAAGTAGAATGATTCCTTCGCTTTTGATGCTAGTTATGAATTGCTCTGCTTCGGGGGGAGCAATAACTGTCAGTGTATGAAGTTTGCGGTCATCTTTCGTCACGGTTATTGTTTTTCAGATTGTCATCTTCTGTTGCATTGTTGTGGGGAATTGTTTAAGTATATCGGAAGCACAACTTCGATATGCCTGCGCCAGATTTTCAGCTGACCTTACAATTTCTCTCGAGAATGGGGGGATGATTTTGATTATTTGGATTTGTTTTGTTTGTGTCGTCGATTTGTTTGCTGTTAGCGCATTTCTGAAATTTGTCTCCGTTTCAATCAGCACTTCGTGAGTAATTGGTAGCTGAGATTCCGTCAGTTGTTGTTGACTCATGACTTGGTTTTACTCAATGGGGGGCAAAAAAGCCTTCACCCGTAGGTATACTTGAAAAAAAAATGGATTTTTCTCTTTCAAAATGTAGAAATCAGAAGGCAAAAACGTCAACTATATTGCACGTGCGTTCTTATCTTTTAACTAATGAAGAAGAAGAAAGAGTAAATTAAACATCCAATAAATGGACAAATGTGTAATAAAATAATAACCGCGTGTATATTGTATAAATAAAAAGCACGTGCAAAAAAAGGTGGAGAAATTGATAAGTTGTTTTACGCTTGTCGTGTCGCCTTCAATAACTTCTCCACAGTGTTAGAGCATTCTGTGAAGCCATGACATGTGTCTAAATGTCTGAAATCAATATTATTGTTACAATATCTTTTAACTAATGCTTTTGTGACAAGAAAATACCTCATTTTTTCAAAATGATTTTTCGTTTTTGAAAAGTTTTCAGAAAATTGATTCATGTTTTAAAGAACTAAAGATATCTGCTACAGCTGTTCCGGATAGAAGTTTCAAAACTCTGGCAAATAATTCAATCGTTTAATTTTATGTTGATTTTGCTTTACACCAGTCAAGTGAAAAGTTAGAAAAAAATGTGTAGTGCCACTATAGACTTTTTAATAATCCTCTTTTGACTGATGTATACACACGCTTTGCAATAATTTGATCTGATGTTTAGTTCCCCAGGGACAGACAGACTTTCATCTCATCAGTTTAATAAGTTTTCCGGTTTATCGACATTGTCGTTTGTAATAATTTTCGTTTTGTTTTTGTTTTTATTTGTAACAAATCCATCTGCCTCTGTTAACTGCACACAATGAGAAAGAGTGATTATTCACTACGAACAGCAGAAAAGCTAAATCCAGCTAACTAGGAAAAACTAAAAAAAAAAAAAACCGAAATTTTCGCACATGTCTATCTTGACTTTTTAGCTTGAAGACTCTACAATCGATAATAGCCTCTTGTCTTAACAGGAGGAATTTTAGAGCTGATTTATCAGACTTTTTAAATCTGATTTATTTGAGCTATTTAGGTGCACCACATCAAAGTATTGCAGCGTTAGCATCAGCTTTTTTCTTTAGACCCTATTAATTTTGCCTCTTTTTCTGCCTATTTTTTCTTTTTGAAAAACACTTAATGTTTTCTTTTCCTAATTGCATCATTAGTGGCAAAACTTGGCAATGATGAAAAAAACTTGGTCAATCAGCACAGTTGTCAAGAAGCAGAAAGGGTCTAAGAGCAGAAAAACAATCAACGACAATTTTTCAACCAATAGTTTTTCAAGGTCAGGGTGCCGCTGGCCTTAGCACGGAGATTTTCCTAAAAAAGCTCTATAAGAAATTGAGCAAATGTACCGCGGAACCGTGGGCAGGTAGTTTTCTTAAGCAGAGAATCTCCCTAGCAATAGAGGTTGCGAACGCTGCCTGTGCACTCGACACTTTTAATGATAAACTTTTTTGTAGAGCTAAGGGAACGAACGCGCAGCTTAGTGTAAGTATCTGATAGACCGGTAGCTTCATATCAGGTCAATTTTTACGAGATTCTTTCAACTCCGGTTTATTCTGTGCAGGTGTTAGTTATCTCAATCCGATTGGCTTGATGCCCAACCATCTGACTCTTAATTGTTATTCACGTTGTACTTTACTTTTCCAAAAATTATGAAGTTCCATTGATGTTTATTTAGGTGAAATGACGAAGGACTAGTGAAGTAACTTAGGTTATCATTATAATTTCTGACCTTCTGATTTACCGTAAATTAGAATTATACGGGTTAATCGATGAAACAGAAATACGAATAATCAATACTATCGCTGAACTGAACATGAATTTTATCAAGTTTTTCCATTCGTTTACTTAGAAATTTGATCAGGTTACTCAATTTATGTATAATTTATTTGTTTCTTCAGTTGTATTGACTTGTTTTGCCGATTAGCCTTCAAAAGACAACTTATTTTATAACTTTTTTTAGCTCCTAGACTCTTAGTCGGCTTATTGCTGCAGCTCCGCCTAAAACGCTTGTTTTGTAACAATTGATCGTGTCGAAATTTTTTACTATAAAATTTGTTGAATAGGGCTTAGTATACTCAAGGCAGTTAGCAGCAATGTTGTCTGATCACAAGTCTGCATGGGAGTTTGAAGATATGTGGTTTAACTGCCAAGAATTGTAACATTCTCCCGCAATATGCACAGCAACTGGAAGCATAAAATAACGTTTCAAACCAATTAATTTGTTTTTAAATTGTTTTCTGATATTCTTTTTTTTCTCTCCGCTATTTTGTTGCGATATTATTGATTATAGTTCTTCTTGTTGTTGTCTTTCAGAAATATGCCCGGTTTTATTGTGAACGCGGTTTCTGGGCATATTTGGAGCCTGAGATATGGTTTGACAACAGTCGGGAATACAAATTGTGACATTTTGATTAATGTAAGTTACCTAAAATATTTAATTATCAAAAAAAAAACGTTGACGAAATACTTGTTTAGGATGACTTAGCTGATCAACAACATGCTGTTGTGCAATACAATGCCCAGTCAACCGATTTCTCGATAAGGGACCTCAATACTTCCCATGGAATATTTCTTAATAACTCGAATTTCAGAAACGCAACCTCACCCTTGACGCACGGAGACTCAATAGCCTTTTCAGAAAATGGACCATTGTTTATATTTTGCAATGCTCAGGTAATAGAGCTAATTTTCTTTGTATAAGGAGAGCTGTTTTGTTTTGTTGGTTGGGTTTTCCGTCCGATTTTAAGGTGGGTTTTGGCTCGGTTTTAGGTGCCTCAAGGAAAGTTTGTTTGAGTCAAGTGTGATATCTTATCAAAGCTGTTCTATTGGTCATAATTCCGATTCCAAAAAATCCAATAAAAACATCGCATTGTCGAGCAAAACGGCTGAATTTTTTCGGTTTTTTTATCAAATTAGATTAAAATTGATCAGAGGCTAGCCTCCAACTTTGGTTTTGAGGCCACCCTTTACTCAGAAAAGGACAGGAAATTAAGACAAAAGAATGTTTTTTTTTGAAAAAAGAATCTGAATTTTCTCTTTTTCGAATTGTTTTTCTCAAATTATTGGTTGGAGCATTCTCTGCTTTACACAATATTCGGATTTCGTGGTTTCAGTAAACTTATAGCTCGGTAATGATATGAACGCTCATTTTCTTGATAATTTTTCAGGGTCAATTGAAATAAGCAGGTTTACTGCTTTTGCAAAATATTCTCAGCTGATAAATTTAATGTTATGTTTCAGTCCCCCAATGATGCGTTGCTGTATGTACAGAGGTACCAATCTTCCAACCCAAAGGTTAATCTTATCACTCTCACATCATTCTTTCAAATCAACTCTTCTATCTCAATAAATCAACAATTAATGTATATCCTTTTGTATTTTACATAGCGCGTGGGGTGTTAAAACGAAGAAAAATTTAACAGGCTATTTTTTTTTTTACTTTTTTCGACTATTTAATCTACTTTTAAACGAAAAACATTTTTTTGTTGGCCTTAGAGTACATTTGCGCCTGATATAGGAGCAGTCTTGTTTTTTTCATATGACACAACTGAAAAATTAATGCTTTTGTACGATTTGAAAGATTGTGGTTTTTTAATTGTGGTAAATTAATATGAGAAATTGTTACACCACAGTACTAGTCAGGGGCCAGGATATGCTTTACAATTAACAAGTTAATAAGTTTTAAATTCACTTCGGACACATAGATAGATCTGTGAGTTGTTGTTGTTGCTGTTGTTGTTGTTGTTGTTGTTGTTGTTGTTGTTGTTGTTGTTGTTGTTGTTGTTGTTGTTATTGTTGTTGTTGTTGTTGTGAATTTTCAGTAGGATACTGATGGGATGATATCCCCAAAGTTCTCAAAATTTTGTCCAGTTATTTCGGCACATGTTGCAGTCGCAGAAGAGGACCCATATGCACTTGTTTTGTTCTGAGAATTGATCGTCGAAAAACTTCAACATCATCTGTATCAATCTTCGCTTTAAGCCTCGCATTTCTCGAAATTCAATTTTTTGATTTAGTCGGTTTATTAGACGGCACGTCCTGAATGTATACTCTCCTCTAGCTTTTTCAGTTCTGGTCTTGTTTTGGTTGAAAATTTCTTTCGCTCTTCCTGGATTTTCAGTTTTTGCCGGGGCTTAATGTGATCGTTTTCTTCATGCATGAATTTCGCCATCATCAGTAAATCGTTCAGCTGGAGAAACAACGCCAGAGGCAGGATGTTTAACAATCTCAGCTGCTCTGCATAGTCAGAATCGTTTCCCGTGATCCATTTTAAGACTTTCTTTTGGAACCTTTCTAATCTCCCTAAGTCGTTTCTTGAGATATTGCAAATAATTAGACCATACGTTAGAACAGGAAGTATTAAGGATTTGTACAGACCAAGTTTCATGCGCATTTTGACTTTGAATTCTAAGTTTCTGCGGATGCAATAGAACGTTTTATTCCCTTTCGACATTCTTGAAACAATATGGGTTGTCCATGTTAAATGTTTGAACACATGTATTCCTAGATCGTTCATCACATTCGGGCTTTCCACTGCTGTTTCACAAAAAAGGAATTCGTGTTGATTTTCTAAATTCAACTTTAAAACTTTTGTCCAGTGCCAGACTCATTTTGTTTTTGTCTACCCAGTTTTGAACACTTTTTAGGTCCTGCTGGATGTCCTTTGTGTCTACATTCACTGCTAGTAATTTTAGGTCGTCTGCAAAGATATATGGGTCACTAAATTTCAATACTTCAGGAAGATCATTTATGAAGATGCAGAAGAATAATGGACCAATCAACGATCCTTGTGGTACGCTACTGGTAATTTCTAAAGTTTCTGATGAGAAATTGACAGCACGAACAAATTGTTTCCTGTTGCTGAGATAGTCTGAGATTATATCTACGAAACAGCCTCAAACACCAGTGTTACTCATTTTCTGTAGTAGTTCGTAGTGCGGAACTTTGTCAAATGCCTTAACTTATCAAAGCTGTTCTATTGGTCATAATTCCGATTCCAAAGATCCAATAAAAACATCGCATTGTCGAGCAAAACGGCTGAATTTTTTCGGTTTTTTTATCAAATTAGATTAAAATTGATCAGAGGCTAGCCCGAAATTGATTCGCTTTTTGAAATTGCGAAATTGATTCCCGAAATTGATTCGCTTTAAGCCTCGCATTTCTCGAAATTCAATTTTTTGATTTAGTCGGTTTATTAGACGGCACGTCCTGAATGTATACTCTCCTCTAGCTTTTTCAGTTCTGGTCTTGTTTTGGTTGAAAATTTCTTTCGCTCTTCCTGGATTTTCAATTTTTGCCGGGGGCTTAATGTGATCGTTTTCTTCATGCATGAATTTCGCCATCATCAGTAAATCGTTCAGCTGGAGAAACAACGCCAGAGGCAGGATGTTTAACAATCTCAGCTGCTCTGCATAGTCAGAATCGTTTCCCGTGATCCATTTTAAGACTTTCTTTTGGAACCTTTCTAATCTCCCTAAGTCGTTTCTTGAGATATTGCAAATAATTAGACCATACGTTAGAACAGGAAGTATTAAGTATTTGTACAGACCAAGTTTCATGCGCATTTTGACTTTGAATTCTAAGTTTCTGCGGATGCAATAGAACGTTTTATTCCCTTTCGACTTTCTTGAAACAATATGGGTTGTCCATGTTAAATGTTTGGACACATGTATTCCTAGATCGTTCATCACATTCGGGCTTTCCACTGCTGTTTCACAAAAAAGGAATTCGTGTTGATTTTCTAAATTCAACTTTAAAACTTTTGTCCAGTGCCAGACTCATTTTGTTTTTGTCTACCCAGTTTTGAACACTTTTTAGGTCCTGCTGGATGCCCTTTGTGTCTACATTCACTGCTAGTAATTTTAGGTAGTCTGCAAAGATATATGGGTCACTAAATTTCAATACTTCAGGAAGATCATTTATGAAGATGCAGAAGAATAATGGACCAATCAACGATCCTTGTGGTACGCTACTTGTAATTTCTAAAGTTTTTGATGAGAAATTGACAGCACGAACAAATTGTTTCCTGTTGCTGAGATAGTCTGAGATCATATCTACCAAACAGCCTCAAACTCCAGTGTTACTCATTTTCTGTAGTAGTTCGTAGTGCGGAACTTTGTCAAATGCCTTTGAGAAGTCAGTATAGAATGCGATCACATGATTTTCAGCGTTCTTGTCAATTGCTTCGTAGATTTCTTTCAAGAAAGATAACATGTTTGTTACAACTTAACGCATTTTAACAAAACCGTGCTGACTTCTTGTGAGAATTTTGGTGAAATGGTCGTACAGCGCTGAATACATGCATTTTTCCAGGAGTTTACTCATGATATTTAGGAGTGACACCGGCCGGTAATTTTCCATTAGTCGTTTCCATAATTTTCCATAGTTTTCCATAAGCAGGTTTACTGCTTTTGCAAAATATTCTTAGCTGATAAATTTAATGTTATGTTTCAGTCCCCCAATGATGCGTTGCTGTATGTACAGAGGTACCAATCTTCCAACCCAAAGGTTAATCTTATCACTCTCACATCATTCTTTCAAATCAACCCTTCTATCTCAATAAATCAACAATTAATGTATATCCTTTTGTATTTTACATAGCGTGTGGGGTGTTAAAACGAAGAAAAATTTAACAGGCTATTTTTTTTTTACTTTTTTCGACTATTTAATCTACTTTTAAACGAAAAACATTTTTTTGTTGGCCTTAGAGTACATTTGCGCCTCATATAGGAGCAGTCTTGTTTTTTTCATATGACACAACTGAAAAATTAATGCTTTTGTACGATTTGAAAGATTGTGGTTTTTTAATTGTGGCAAATTAATATGAGAAATTGTTACACCACAGTACTAGTCAGGGGCCAGGATACGCTTTACAATTAACAAGTTAATAAGTTTTAAATTCACTTCGGACACATAGATAGATCTGTGAGTTGTTGTTGTTGTTGTTGTTGTTGTGAATTTTCAGTAGGATACTGATGGGATGATATCCCCAAAGTTCTCAAAATTTTGTCCAGTTTTTTCGGCACATGTTGCTGTCGCAGAAGAGGACCCATATGCACTTGTTTTGTTCTGAGAATTGATCGTCGAAAAACTTCAACATCATCTGTATCAATCTTCGCTTTAAGCCTCGCATTTCTCGAAATTCAATTTTTTGATTTAGTCGGTTTATTAGACGGCACGTCCTGAATGTATACTCTACTCTAGCTTTTTCAGTTCTGGTCTTGTTTTGGTTGAAAATTTAGCTTTTTCAGTTCTGGTCTTTTAAGACTTTCTTTTGGAACCTTTCTAATCTCCCTAAGTCGTTTCTTGAGATATAGCAAATAATTAGACCATACGTTAGAACAGGAAGTATTAAGGATTTGTACAGACCAAGTTTAATGCGCATTTTGACTTTGAATTCTAAGTTTCTGCGGATGCAATAGAACGTTTTATTCCCTTTCGACATTCTTGAAACAATATGGGTTGTCCATGATAAATGTTTGGACACATGTATTCCTAGATCGTTCATCACATTCGGGCTTTCCACTGCTGTTTCACAAAAAAGGAATTCGTGTTGATTTTCTAAATTCAACTTTAAAACTTTTGTCCAGTGCCAGACTCATTTTGTTTTTGTCTACCCAGTTTTGAACACTTTTTAGGTCCTGCTGGATGTCCTTTGTGTCTACATTCACTGCTAGTAATTTTAGGTCGTCTGCAAAGATATATGGGTCACTAAATTTCAATACTTCAGGAAGATCATTTATGAAGATGCAGAAGAATAATGGACCAATCAACGATCCTTGTGGTACGCTACTGGTAATTTCTAAAGTTTCTGATGAGAAATTGACAGCACGAACAAATTGTTTCCTGTTGCTGAGATAGTCTGAGATTATATCTACGAAACAGCCTCAAACTCCAGTGTTACTCATTTTCTGTAGTAGTTCGTAGTGCGGAACTTTGTCAAATGCCTTTGAGAAGTCAGTATAGAATGCGATCACTTGATTTTCAGCGTTCTTAGCAATTGCTTCGTAGATTTCTTTCAAGAAAGATAACATGTTTGTAACAACTTAACGCATTTTAACAAAACCGTGCTGACTTCTTGTGAGAAATTTGGTGAAATGGTCGTACAGTGCTGGATACATGCATTTTTCCAGGAGTTTACTCATGATATTTAGGAGTGACACCGGCCGGTACTTTTCCATTAGTCGTTTGTCACCTTTCTTGTAAATAGGCGACACAGCTGCAACTTTCCATTTATCTGGTATTTTCCTTACCCTCTTGATGTTTTTAAAAACGCAATGCAAAATTGTGGTCATTTCTCTGGCCGTTCGCTGGAAGAAAACCGGTCTGGGCCCCGCGATTTTGTTGTCAAGCTCTGTTATAATTTGGTTTAAATATGTTTTTGAGATACTGAAGTTCTCAATATCGTGTTTTCACACTTCACGTCACTGAGGTTGAAGCTTGATTTGGGCGAAAAGACAGAGTGAAATTATTCATTCAAAAAGTTCACATTTTATTTGGCTTTGGAAACAGCTATGTCGTCCTTGATCATAGTCTTTGGGAGAGTTTCTGATTTTTTTCAGACTCTTAAAGTGTTTGAAAATTCAATGTGTGTTACGAGCGGACATCACATTTTCCTGATAATTTAATTTATCTTTCTTTACTGCTTCTTTCACCATTTTATCTAGAGTTATAATGAGATTTCTGCGGTAGCTTGTAGGTTTCAATTTGTATATTCTAGTTTGTGTTCGCAGTTTTTTCATGATGTTTGAGGTACTTGGAGTAATCCATGGCGGAAGTGATTGGCGACGTCTCGTTCTTCTGGGCGCATGTTGGTTTATCAATTTTTCCAAATAGTCGTAAAGTTCCTCGCACATTCTATTGATGTTTGTGTGACATACTGATGAGAAAGGCTCACTTAGTATTGATTTCTTGATTTCGTTATAGTCCACGCTACCGAAGCTTCGAAAGTTTTCAATAGCGACTTTTACCTCATGGTGAGGACATTAGAAGTAGAATGCTGATTGCTTTGTGGTCGGAGCAATTGTAATTTTTTGAGAAATTTTCGTCAGGAGTCGCATGAATGTGACAATTTTTGAATAATGTAATGTCTAGGGTGTTTTGCCACAAGTTGGAAAATCTATTGCGTGCTCGAACTGATGTTGCTCGATTAGTTCATTTATTGAGTTTTCTTCATTTTCGGTGCTACTATAGTCAATCCAGTTTGCATTTGGAAAATTTACATCTCCGCAAATAAGTGTTGCAGTTGATTGATTTGATTTCTCGATTTCAATCAAAACTTGTGCGAAATCGCCTAGACAATAGCGATATTTGCTGCTCGAAGGTGGATTGTAAAAACAGCAGACAATAATTCGCTTATCGTTTATTTGGATGCTGCAAGTTAAACAACATTCAGGTTGCTTATTTGGCAATAATTTAGATGAAAATGTTTGTTTCACTGCCATTAGTACTCCACCGTGCAAATTTTGATCTTTGGCTGTTTGTCGTTCTGATCTGTAAATACTGTATTTATTTAGCAATAATTCAGATGATGCAATGTTTTCATTTAACCAAGTCTCGCAGAGACATATTATGTCATAGTTTGATGTTGCTATAGCATTTGCAAACTTCATTCGTCGTTCGAGATTTATGAGACTTCTTACATTCATTTGCAGGATGTTGAGAAAGCCCAGTCAAGGATCATCTGCTTGTTCGGCTTCTATCGTCTCTTTTTTCCCATCATTGAACAGCTCGAAACTCCTGATTTTGATTTTCTCCTTTGGAACTCTTTCGTCTTTTTAGGCATAGGTTTTCCTTCCTCGCATCTTCTTTCGATATTGCTGGCAGAAGGTAAATTTCCTCATCTCGCAGTTCATCTCTTTTTTTTGAAGCTCTTTGCCAGCACCAATCGTGCTTCATGTTCCGTTGACAGAGTTATTAATAAAGTTCTTGACTTGATGCGCTCTTTGCTGAAATTCCCTAGCCTTTTTATTTCTTCTATTTGTGGTTTAACTCCTAACTTGTTTAGTACCTCATTTACTTTTTCGGTCGTGGGGACAAAATTTTTGCCTTTTGATTTCTCGGGATCTTCTCTGATCCCCTGTATACGGAAGCTTTTATTGATATTATGATGTATTTCATGTTTTACTTCTTTTCCAGCTCCTGGTTGAGCTTTCATATCTTTAACAGGTTTCACACTGAGTACATCTGCATAGCTTTTTTCCACTTATTCGCATGTGGTTTTTGTAGCGTTTTCGACTTTTTCATCAACCAATGCCGTCAGCCTTTTCTCAATATTTTCAAGACGTGCTTGTATTTCCTCACTCTCCTTTTCAATTTTCTCGTTTATTTGCATCATGGTCCTACACTTTATGAAGTTATCTCTTTCGTTATTTTTGACACATGTGTCGCATAGAAGCCTTGCGTTTAAACCCAAGTCTTTTATGCCATTGATGGCGGTGTTAGTAAGACCAGTGCAGGTGCCCTCAAGATGCATTTGAGCATTGCAAGATACACAACTGAAGCATCTGTCCCTGGCATTTATGGTTTTTTGCACGTTTTGCAATTTTTAGTAATATTGGTGGACACGGAAAGAAGAAGAAAATGAGATAGAGATACTTTATTTACAATTTGATCCAGTCCTGGACAATTGAGCCGAGTCCCATCACGAATTGAAATTTAAACTCACAATTTATTTCTGTTCTCGTTTCCTTCGTGCTTCTCGTTGTTTTTTGACGGTTTTTTTCTTCTTTAAGATATCACTGAAGTTGCTTTCCGTTGATATCACTCGTTGTTGTTTCTTATTATAGCTAAAGTTTTGATTTCAAGTGCGGTTTCTTGATGCAGTTCTCTGTATCCTTCAAGTAGATCTTTGTCCTGTTGTTTAGAATTCGAAATTATGTCTGTTGTAACTTGAACAACTGGTATCGGAAGTTTCTTTAGATCTTCAAGAATATAGGGTGAACCGTCTCTCTGACAATAGACAATGCCTTCAATTCGAGGATGCAAATTGATTAGGGGTTTGATTTCTGATACTAGTTGATTGGCAGTAAGGGGAGTCCTTGGATTGAATGGATGTTCTGAAATCGAAATGTTTATTACGTCGTGCCAGATAATTACAGACTCGTTTCTATTAATTTCGTCTCGCAAGATGTTTTGTACGATTTTATTCGCTTTCGATTTGGGATGAAACGTTACTCCCTTGTAATGGATGACGTCTTCTTGTAGTTCCTCGTTTCCTCCTACTGATGCCCCCCAATCTTCGAGTGCCAGATGTAATAAGCTCGCTCCAATAATCACAACGATGAATAAGGGGTCACCACGGCTACCACGCAAATCATTTAACCTGAAACTGTTTAATAATTGAGTAAACCTGGGCCAATCCAGAGACATATTCCACGTGCTCTTTTCTTTCGTTTCCGTCTTTTCTTGATGAAAGTATTCTTTAATTCTTCTAAAATTTTTTGAGATTAAAGCCAGTAACTTAGAAAGCTGATAGTATTACACTGATACAACCGTTATGTTCTGTTACTGTTGTTCTTTGTTTTGTTTTACCATGAGCACCCCACGAAAACTCAGTTTTTAATTTAAATTAATTAATGTTCAGACTGAAGTCTCTTTACCCATCATCCCCAACCTCCCGGTCTCAATGCCCCAACCTCAGATGACATTCACGCATGACATGGCACTCAAAGACAGGTGGGCAGTACAGACCCAGAGCGGAGCCTGGACTCAAATAGCACCCATACCTCCTCCCAAGCCACCTATGTACAGTATGAGGGGGAGGCCCTCCAGTGCTAGTTCGGTGTCGCGGCTGGTTCGACAGCCTGCAATTATACCTCAGCATCCACCCCCTAGGACACAAAACACATCTCAAGGTAGACTACTGCAGTTGATAATGAAGAGAAAAAATGAGAAAAAAAAATATTGTTTTTTTTTTTGAAAAAACGTTCTGCGATTTTCTAGAGAAGCAGGAGTCAATTAAAACTGAGCTCCAATTATTAAATAGAAAAAACTTCAAAAATTTGTGAATGAGGCAGTGGATCAATTTGGAAAATCAGACTGCTAATCAGTTGACATTCAATCTGAAAAGCCAAAATAATCGACCAGAGTTTTTCAGATCGGAGTTTTTCGCTAGACAGCGAGTGAACTTTTTATGGAATCCGAATTACGGCCAAAAGGATTTTACTGGGATTTCTCACTCGATGACCTGAAAGTTTTTTTGGTGTTTCGTATTTTGGGTAAAAAACTTTGGTTAGAACGATAACTTCAACCAGCCATGACCAAAATCATAGCACAAACGTTTTTTTTTTAAATTAAGTTTCTCGGTTCTCCATTTTTACCATTTATTAAATTCGACTGAACTATCAGCTTCCGTGCAGTAGAACGACTAATCAATTTTTCTAGCTAGAGATATATGAACTGCCAGAACAAAATCAAACCAGGAACCTTGAAAGTTTGATCAAAATAGTGTTTTCAATTTTTAGTTGAATACATAAATTCTTTCGGTAATAAATAACATTAAGAGTACCAGAGTATCAGTTTGACATTCTTCAGGTTCCAATATTCGCAACCAGTACCAGTTCACAGCTACCAGCAACTCCTCTGGGCATGGCCAGGTATCCCCGGAGGTCGTGGAGTCCATCGCCAGACAGCTCAACTCCAGGTCCAACAGCAGACACGACAGTGGCAGTCTCAACGAGACATTCAACGTCGACACTAGTGGAACCAATTTACATGTAAAAATTACACTGAGGCCAAGCGAAGCTTTGCACCACTTGCGATACAATCGGGAAAATAATTGGAGTAGTCGAAAAACAACTAGATGTATTAAATTGAATATAGCTAGTTTTTTAAAAAAACATGACCAGACAAAAGAAAGTAAAATTAGCTTCGGAAAAAAATTAAGCGGTAAAAAAGCCGAAAGTACTTGAGCAGAAACCGTTTCAGCCGAAGAAATTCAAAAAGTAGAACATTTTTTATTACTTTTTATGTTCGAGTCCCCCTCCCCCTCAAAACACCCTCACACGCACACGAAGAATTTCTTCGGTCATCAAACGACGCTAAATCTACTATGTCGATAAAATATAGGCCGAAATCATTTGGCAAAATAAAGTTTTCAAGCGAAAACAAACAAAAAACAGAAAATTTACGAAGTCGAGATTAGTAAAATTTCAAAACGCAGAAGTTAGTCAAAACACTAAAAGCAATTACCAGGTAAATTGCGTACTCCTAAAAAAATTCTACGTGGCAACTAAGGCGACAAAACATAAAACTCGAAAAGGCCCGGTTACGGTTCAAGTAGCACAGAATGTTTCCAACATAGTCTTAAAAAACAAAAACTTTTTATTTTCAAATTAGTGTCGTTTTTTCTGCGTGGTGTGACACAAAGATGTAACAAGAATTTACGAATTGGCATATCATATTTGACAGTCAAGTTTAACTGGAAAACAGTTTTTGAAAATCAAAAATTTTTTCAATTTTTTTTGCAGAAATTTTTTGAGTTTGAAGTTATTGATTCTCAAAATGGCGTTAATAAAACTTCAAAAACTAATTATACTCGAGTAAAACTAAACTTAGGCACAAATAAGTTATTTTAAACGGAATAAATTACGCATAAATAAGCATGCTTGCTCGCTTTACTCGCTGGAAATGAGACGAAAAATCAAAAATTTCAAACCTGTTTTTCTTGAAACTGGAAATGTTTTGGAAATTTGTTAATGACATTCAAATCAACACTCAACGGGTTTTAATATGATTTATCACTCGACCCATTTCATTGATTATTTTTGGTTCTTGATTTTGCGTGGAGAAAAAAAATAAAACATCCGAGTACAAAGTTCTTCCATACTTCTCAAATGGTCGTAGTAATAAGCCGTACTTTTTTGTTGAAACGGAATAGTTCCCGTTTGAAAAAAAAACAGGTTTTGTCAGATCTGAACCCGGAACCTTTTTGGTCATAGGCGTGTTCGTTACCTCCAGACCAAGTATGCAGGAGGCGCAAAGAAATATTAACTCATTAATAACGGAACCTAAATTTTTCATATCTAATTTTGACTATTTTGTGAACTAAGTTTTTGCGGGAAAAAAGTCTAGTACCAGGTTGCAATACACTTGCTATCGCAATTTTAAATAATATTGGTGATAGAGATTGTGTGGTTATGATAACGAATGGAAGCTATATCAAGGATGAAGATTTGAAATTTTTTTGAGCAAATCATCCCTTGTCTCAAAAATCTTCTAAGCAATTTGGACAAGTGATCTCTTCGTGAAAAATATAACCACCAAGTTTAATTGACAAGGAATTGAAAGTGAAGTTAATACTCAAACTTTTGAGTTAAAATTTTAAGCTTTTATCTTCTTTTTATCTCCTATAAGGAACTTTTTTGTTCCGACTACCGAAAGTTCGGGTGTCTTTTTATTTATTTTTCTTTTTGTTTTTCTCGCAAAATCAGGTGCCACAAATACTCATCGGAATGAGTCGAGTTATAAATCATACTAAAATTCTTTCAGTCGTGATTCTGACAAAATTTTAAAATATTGAACAATTTTTCTCGGTGACGAGAAAAAACCAGTCTAAGTTTTTTATATTTTTGTTCTAATAAGACGAGCGTGAAGGCATATAAAAACTTATTTATGCTTATTTTAAGCCATGAAACGTTTGTTTCACCCGAGTAAACTTGTTTTTGGTGTTTTTCAGCGTCATTTTGGGAGTCAAAAGTTTCAAAAGTTAGAAAATTTTGTGCAAAAAGTTTTGAAAATTTTCAAAAATATTTGCGATATATTTTTTTCGTTTTTCTACGAAAACTATTTTTTGGCTTATTTTACTAAGACTGCCAAACATGCCTAATTTTTTTGTTCAGATATTTAAATCGCGCCACGCAGAAAAAACGGCACTAATTTGAAAAACGTTCTTTTTGTGTTTTTTAAGACAATGGTCGGAACATTGTGCTACTTGCACAGTACCCGGCTATCCTTGTTGTTCCGACTTTCGATACGAAAGTAACGGAATATTTGTGCTCGGGGTGGGTTTTTTTTTTCTTCAGACAAATTTCGACTTTTTAACTAGCCAGTTTTGACGGAATTTTTTAATATCATTTGAAAGGTATTGTTGTCCTGAGCTAAAATTTGAAAAGATATTTCACCTGTGATTATTTTTTGTAAAGTTACGGGGGTTTAAAGATTGCCATTTTGGCCAATTTGGGACAATTAACGCGCGATATATTTCGCGCTATTAACGCGTAAGCGGAGAGTTAATCCGTCTAAGAAATCGTTCCAAATTGGTTAAAAGAAGCTTATTTGCCATAATTGGTTTGTTACAAGGAGCGAAATCTATACTTTTGTACTTTATATGGCGTGTGGGGGGATGATTCTCATAAAAAATTTCAAATTTTAGAAATTTTTTTTTTCATTTTTTTTTATTTCAATGAAACTTTTAATGTTATTACGGCTCCATAAACCTTAAAAGGCAGTCGGAACATTCAGGGCTTCGCTCTGATACGAGCAGTCTTGTTAGCATTTGCAACTTGTTTTCGAGATCATTAAACGAACAAATTAATTAAGTGTTTTCTAGCATAAAATTGACGGAATTCGTTGATAACAATTGATCTAAATTAATTTGAAGAAAAACTGCGTTCTTTTCCTAAAGATAAGATTCATTCTTCGAGTGATGCAATTTTGACCGAGACAGTCGATGTGAGATTTTCATGTTCGAAGTTCATTGAAACCCAAAAACTAGCTACGTTTGACTGAAGTGGTTGAAAAAAGCCCATTTGAGCAATCTCCTCACTAAAAACAAATGACAATATCAAGCAGTAAGACCTGCGAGCATTATGTTCAAATCTGATTGGCTGAAAAAGATTACTTTTTATCTTCCCCCTAGATTGATTTGAGAAGATATATAGTTCACTTGATCCTGAAAAATTGTTGTTTTTGTTCACGACAATCGAAAGTTTGTTATACCCGGTTATTTTGTTTCAGACTCAGTCAGCGGAGCTGGAGAATGAGAACCGTATCCTGGCGGAGCAGCTGCAGATGTTGCGGGATGATCTGAGTCAGAAGGAGGGACGCATTGCCTCCCTACACGCGGCCACTGATTCAGCCTCCGACATGATAAAGGAGCGAGAGAGACAGATGGTCGAATTGAAGCAGAAGGTATAGCTAATAGTCGTCAGGAAATAGATTTTATGCAAAGGTTGGATCTACTTAACAATTACCCCCATCAAGGAAGGGAAGTAATTGTTTAGTAGATTCAGTTTTTTTGACCAATCAGAATGCAGCAAAATTCGAATTTTAAATAGAATGCTCCAGTGGCTAATATACTGCTTTTATTTATAGGGGTGGCAATATTTTTGATTATGCCATTTCCCAGAAAGTTCGTAACGAACTCAGAGACAGTTTGATAGGGATAGAGTACTGTCATTTTTCCGTTTTTCATTGCTGATGGAAGTTTTCAAGCATGATATTTTTGCCGAATCAAGTGTCTTCACCTTCTTCGAGTGACTAAATATGAGAAACATAGGTTGTGTGGAGAGGGCGTTGGATCCTATTAAGGCTCTTTCATCCACCGTAAGATGAATTGTAGACAATAAGCCTGGCGAAGTTCAGAAAAAAGTGTGGATCTATAAAAGTAAACATTTGGACGACTCCATGTAAAACTTCTAATTGTTTAAGTTGGATGCAACACAGCGGCTCTACGACGAATTGCGCGCAGAGAAAACGGAAGAGGTCGCCGGTCTGCGAGATCACATAATGTCAGCCGAACGAGAATCACAAGACGCTAAGGAAAAACTATCGACTGCTGAGACCGAAAACGATCTTCTCAAAGAGGAACTGGAATCGCTAAGAAAAGAAGCCGAGAAGTCAAATGAATTTGACGCTGAAAAAGAACGAATAACGGCGTTGCATGATCAAGTCGTCAACGACTTGAATGCAAAATATAATGATTTAAAACAGGTCAGACCCCCCTAGATTTGTTCATTGCAACCTTTTGCTCATACCGTAAGAGTTATTAAAAGAAGATAGCTTTTGCTTTGATTTAATTTTAAAAATTTTAAGTGCGTTTTCTAAAATAAAACATCATACCATCTGGAAATTAAGTTTTTAAATCAATATATTAAATCAATATATCGTTTTTTAAATCAATATATTATGCCATTATTTTTCAAGCCAAACGATTGCTTCAAAATTATTACTTTTTTTATCAACGGTATTTCTTTCTACGATTTCATAGGTTCTTAGTTCTTTATTTAGTTGATAAGTATCTTTTTTAGTTCGTGGACAAATTGAAGTCTCATTGCGTCTTGGGAGAGGAAGAAGCGGAACAGGAGTCCTTTGATGGAATCCTAGCCTATGTCGACAGTCTCAAGTCAAGCAATGATGAGAAAGAGACGGCACTTAACAACGAAGTGAACAAGCTACAGATCCTAGAAAACGGTTCGAACAAGAACTTCGCCTGCTCGAAGCTCGTGCAGATTTGATTTTTCGTGCAGATTTGATTTCTATGCGCTAAATTTAATCAAACCTATAGACTCATATACATAGTTGTTCCGACTATTTTCGAAGAAAATGACGGAGTATTTGTACTCGGGGTGGTTTTTTCTCCTGACAAATTTCGAATTTTTAGCCAGCCTTTTAGTGGAAATTTTTATAGCATCTGGGAATTATTGGTGTCTTGAGCTCAAATTATTTTTTTTCATCTGTGACCATTTTTTGTAAATTTATGGGGGATTAAAGATCGCCAATTTGGGACAGTTAACGCGCATTATATTCCGCGCTTTTAAGGGTTAAGCGGAGATTTAATCCGTTTTAGAACTCGTTCCAATTTGGTTGAAGAGCTATTTGTCATAATTGATATATTACTAGAAGCAAAATCTACCACGTCGTGTTTTAAATGGCGTGTGGCGGAAAATTTTCAAAAAAAATCTCGAAATTTTCAAATTTTTTGTTTAATTAATTTTTGAAAAATTTATGATTTTTTAAAGCGAACACTACACCACAGACTTTAAAAGACAGTCAGACCAGACCATTCAGGGTTTCGCTCTGTTATGAGCAGTTTTGTTGTTCCGAGACTCCATTCTGTTAAAAATTCTAAGTCAAAAATCGAAAAGTGTTGAAATAAAAAAACCGGCTAACAATATATATTCCGTTTTCTTCGAAAGTCTGAGCAATTGCTGAACATTTGTGCTCGGGTTGGTTTTTTTCTCTAGACAAATCTCGGCTTTTTTGACAAAAATTGTTTTAATATCTGCGAAAAAGAATTGTTGCCCGGAGCTCAAGTTTAAAAAGGTATTTCACTTGTGATAATTTTTCGTAAAGTATGGGGGTTTACATATTGCAAGTTTGGCCAATTTGAGATAAGTAACGCGCGATATATTTCGCGCTGTTAACGCGTTAGCGGAGCTTTAATCCGTCTTAGAAATTGTTCTAAGTTGAATTGAGGCATGCTATTTGCTTCATTTAACACTTTGCTGTATGCAAAAGCGTTCGCTTTGTACTTTACATAGCGTGTGGGGGATGATTTTCAAAAAATCAAAAAAATTTTTGTGATTTTTTTCTAAAGTTTCATCTATTTTTGAAAAGTGAACACTGCTCCATAGACGTTAAATTGTTGTGAGAACATTCAGAGCTTCGCCCTGATGCGAGCAGCCTTGTTTCAATTTTCTAATTAATTCTATTCTAGTGCAAACTATGGTTCTTACACGAACGAATGTATGTCCTGGAGCCATTCCCTCAAACCAAGGTTCATCACCCTTATATGGTTGTTTCTGTCTTCCTGACCGGCTTGCATGCAAAATACGGCCACTGAATCTGCATTTTGAGAAATTACCCATGAGTGTTATGCATGCCTTTTTTTGTGACCGAAGCTCGGCGAGAATCGCTTTTAATCTGATTGATGCTTCTTTTATGTTTAACTATGTTCAAATTGTTTCAGAAGTGAACACAGTGCTCGAAAAAGTTAATAGCAGTTGCACTGATCTCAACTCTTTGAATTTTTTTCTGGAAACAAACGACGAAGACAGTCCAAGTGCACCAATTGCTTCTAAGATTAAAGATGTCCTTGTCAAAGTGTTGTCGGCAGTCAGCGACTCCCAGGTGTCTGTTGATACGAATGCCTCGTTGAATGACATAGTAGCTTGTTTGAATGACAACGGTTTGAATGTCGAAGAAAACGCCTCCTCAGGTACATAACTTATTAACGAGTCAATTTTTAGAAAAAATGTGAGATGTTTTCTGGTTTGTTTATTGTGAGCTGCTTTGATTTTAGATGCCATTAAATCTTGCTTAAGAGAGTTCTTTGAAAGTCATTGTCAGCTCAAATCCGATTTTGATAGCCTGAATGAACAGCATGAGATTGTATGCAAAGGTGAGTATATGAAGAATTTAATGATGAACATTTTCTCCGGAATTTTGATGTCTTCATTTTTAAGAAAAAGAAGAAATGGCTGAAAAGTTTGAGTCGGAGATGACCATTAAAATGGAAACAATCAAAACAGGATGGATTGCAGAGAAACAAAGTGGTGAGTCAAATCGGAGATCTGAAAATTAGATATAATTCAACGCTGGTTTTGAATTAACTACTGGATTTTGTTTTCAGAAATCGATGATTTGACAAATGCTAAAACTGATTTGGAAGCACAGGTTCAAGCTCAATCGGAGGCCTTGGAAGCATCCAGAGAAGGCGAGTTGTTAATTCAATCGCTTAAAACTAGACTAACCCTCAGAAGCTAATACTATTCCTTATACTTTTTTTCGTGATATTGTGTCATCGTTTTTAGTACGTCTGTCATTTTCAGCGAGCTTGGTCAGAAAACTGAACTGATCATTTTATCACTTCCAAACTATTTTATTGATATCATTTTTGTTCTTGGAACATTAAGTACTAATTTTTTCGAATGATTGCTTAAATTTTTTTTCAGAAAATGAGAATCTGTTCATATCGTGGAAAATTGAGTTCACGGAAAGTCATGCCAAGGAGATTGAGAAAATAATTGCAGAAAAAGAAGCTGAAATTCACGACTTAAAACAGACACATCTACAAGAAGTTGAGACTCTCAATGGCGAGAAATCCAAGGCGGAAGAGGACATGAATGCGAAGATTGATGAAATGAATGCTAAAATATCTGAGCTGGAGACGGTTAGTTTTTTTGAAGGCGGGAACCATTGGCGCATTCATCGAATCCAAAAACAATAAAACCTAGACCGATTATTGCGAAATTAGTTTTTGAAAAGCGAAAATATATTCTACAGTATTAGTCATCTAAGACCCTTAAATAAAAATTTTGAACTTTTTATATCGAAATTTTTGTTCCGCATGAGCGTAAATGGACTTCATTTTAGGCAGTCACTGAGCAGGAGAACAGTATTTCCCAGCTAACAGAGTCCCACAAGACAGTTTCAGACGAGAAAGACTCGCTGCTACTTCAAATTGAGCAACTCCAGACTGAGAAATCAACCCTAGAAGGTGCGGTGTTTTATTGTTATCAATGTAGTGTTTGGTCGAATTAGAAATATTTTAAATCGAATTAGAAATATTTTAGCAGGTCTATTGTTCCAAAAAAGGTCGAATTAGAAATATTTTAGCAGGCCTATTGTTCCAAGAAAAGGTTGGGCCCAAATAACGGAGAGCGTATATAGGGATTTTTTATTTTTCAGAAGCCCTTCAAGCAAAAGAGGCTGAACTCGAAGCCTTGAACGAGCAACAGGGTAGAGAATCAGACGAGACTTTTAGGATGGTGAAACTGGAGTGTCAAGAACATGCCAAGACTATAGTCAAGCTGGAGGAGAAGATCATCGCTCTGAGTCAGGAGAACGAAGAGAACATTAAAATGCGAGAGAGTGCAGTTACTGAGAAAGAAGGTGGGTGTTGTTTTTGTTGCTTATATGTTAGATTCTAATGAAAATCTGTTTTGTATCTGTAATTTGCGCTTTTCGTTTTTTTTTTCATTTTTAAACAAAGGAAGATGAATCTAACTATATTCGAATCGGAAGTTCCGGAAGGAAAAAAAAACACTTTTAGAGGAGAGAAATCTAAAAATTACATCATCTTTGTCGTAAAAATGAAAAAAAAAAACTATATGTTTGCGATGAATTTATTCAAGTTTTTATCTGCTATTTCTAAGTATCACTTTCCTGTTGTTGTTTCTTGATAGTGAAATATTATTTCAGAGACTATAGCCAAGTACACACGTGATAAGCCGAAGATCCCTCCGAAGCCAGCCTCCATCGCCCCCGTACGCACTATGGAAGACCTGCATGCGCTGGAACAACTGGTGCTGCTGCTAAGGTGACATATTACTCACTGAGCAGAAGTTTGAAAAATACTCACTGCGCAGAAAAATGTTTTATTGGGATAGGGCTATGATCTCATGCGGTCGAAGTAAACCCGAGATGTTATTTAATGATAGCGTGTTTTTTTTTGTTTTCAGGGGTGAGTTGTCAGAGGCAAAGAAACAATTGAAGGACAATGAAACTGTGATTGAGGGTCTCGCCAGGGACTTAGCAGGCGCAAATGCACGACTCAATGATGTCGCCGGTTAGTCCGACTCAATCATATGCTATTAATTTTTTCAGATCACTAGAGAAACTACGAAAAAAAATCAAATATTTCAATCTTCCGACCACTGAAAGAGGGAAAGGGCTTGGAATTTTGTCTTCTGGTGCGTAAGCGATTCCACACAAGTTCCGAAACCACAATTAGTCATGGGTATGGGCCAGGTGGTATATCATTAGAAAACCCTTTCAATCGTGATTTGAACAAAAATAAAAAATTACAAAAATTTTCTCATTGTCCAGAAAAACCGGTTTGAAATTTTCAACTTTTAGTCTTATTTCGATCGCATAAACCGAGCGAGCAGGTTTGTAAAACTAGGTTTAAAAATCAAAATAAGACTTGATTGAAAATGATATTTTGCAAAACCAGCATATTGGTTATAGAAAATACTGTTAAAACCCTTAATAACCGTCAAATGTTGTGTATAACAGTCACAAAAAAATTAAACGAAGAAAATGAATGATTTTCAAAAAAAAAATCAAATTTTTCGGCAGATTTCTGCTGTTTTTGACATGAAAAAAAAATAGATATATGTTTTTAATGCTCAAAAACTATTAACTATACCATATTTGATACAATCAAAACAAATAAAGTAACCTCTATGAACTAGCAACTGAAAAATACTGTCGAATGAATTTGAAAAAACTGCAGAAAAGCCAAAGGACAAGAACCAAAAACTGCATTTTTCAAACTTTTTGACAAAATTTGGAAACGATCAAAAATGTATATAGATTGTGTAAACTACACGAAGACAAGCTTCTGACAAAATGTGGCGCTATTTAGCTAATGAAAGTGTAGTTACACTTGCTAAGCAAGTGTATTAGTACGAATTTTCTTTTTTTTTCCGACCTAAGTCGCAAATAAAAGTGCTATTTTTAGTGGCACTTTTGAATTGGTAGGCTGCGGTAGCAGTATAACATCACATATGGTTTGACATTTGATTAATAAAAATTGAACGCAGTTCATTCTTTTTTATTTCATCACATGAACCGAAAAAAAGTTAGTTGTTTCAAACAGCAGTACAATGATAAAGAGGTCGATTTCAGAACTTTTCCAATTCAATGTATGTCGCAATGTTTTTGAAATGCATAATTTATACATAATTTGGCTGTATGTTTTCCGATTTATTACATTCAAAATTGTGTCTTTTGTACTTGGTGCTACTTATGCTGCTTCGAATTGGCAATTTATTAGAATATGTAGCTGCATTATTGGTGGCTAGTTTTTGGGTATTTCAAGCATCCGTGACTGAGAGGTTAGTGCGTGAGACTCAAATTTGTTGGGTCGCAAATTCGAATCTGACACGTAGCTGAGTTTTTGCTAATTCGATGTTTGTTACTAATTTTTCTTATTTCATTTGATAGAGCTGCTTTTTGGTCGTGTTCTCGCAAGTTTTTGCGAAGCGCAGCTTCGCCTCTGTGTTAAAACATTGAAAAAATGGTGATAATTAAGCCGACAAGTTAGTCGAAAAATTGAATGAATAATCGACATGTTTGATTATTGTTAATTTTTGTTACATCTGTGTTTAAATCGAAAAATTGAATGAATAATCTACATGTTTGGTTTTTGTTAATTTTAGTTGCTTAGTGTTCAAACCTCATTAAAAAGTGTACAACTAAGCGATGCAGTTTCTTGCAAAAAAATCGGACACTAGCATATGAGTAGCAAGTTAGTTTTAACTCCATTTATCCATATGGAAATTGGCCGATGTTCAAGTTTGCGCAAGCGATGAGCACGAATTTTGGTGGGGTTTAAACCACCGACCTTCGTACTGAAAAGCAGAGACCTTATCCCTTTACTCATCGCTGTCCTTTTGTTTTTTTTTTTCATCATTTTAATTATTCCAGGTGAGCTGAGTGAGTCTCAGAAGGAGGAGGTGGAGAGGAGTCAGGCTCTAGTTAGAGATCTGGAGGTCCAGTTGGCATCCATCAAAGTACAAGTAGACAGCGCCCTGGCCCAGAAGCACCAGATGACACAAGATGTGGAGCAGCTCACGGTGGAGCTACAGTGAGTCATTTAAGTGAAATGAACAACAGTGTTCTCAATGTGCTTGTTCAAAAGTTTGAGCAACTGGCACAGAGATATTTCTTACTGATGTTTTTTGTATGAGATTCTCTGTGATTATTAAGCCTCAGTCTAACTTATAACCCCGTTAGGTTCCATTTGTGATAGAAATGCCACAATGGGCGCTAAATTGTGACTCACATAACTGAAAGAAATTTAAAATGCACGGTTGGCCGTTTTTAGAACACATTTTTGCTGTTTTAAGAACACAAAAAAAAACAAGGTTAAGATGAAACACATTTTATTGTTTTTTTTCTTCAAATAATATTTTAAAGAAACAATGTTGGTGCTAATATAAATACGAGTTCAACTCAAATATTGATCTAATTTGTGTCTAATAATTCATCAATGTTGATTAGGTTCTATGAATTGTATTTTGTTCACGTGTAACTGTGTCTGTGGTTGTCCTTTTATCGGTATGTCAATGTTGTCTGTGTTTCCTCTAACGTATCTGTGCCAGAGTAGCTCCACGATAGCAGTGAAGAAAGCTAGCGCTGCTCCCATGGCCAGAATATAGAACACACCAGCTACGTTTTTCAATGCAATACCCTCCGCCTCCTAAAGTTAACCTTTGGTTGATTTACCTCCATAAAAGTTTATAGATGCCGAAATATCAGTAACGACAACAAATTCACAAATTCGATCAATTTCTTTTAAGTTTGTTTTAATCACGCCCTTATTTTTGTGCATTATTCTTGTTTTTATACTTTTTTCGGAGAATTGCTGACATAAAAACACAAAAATTGACGCAGAACCGAAGCTGTATTTCGCAAACACAAGCGATAGCACGTTAAAAAAAATAGCTCTAAAAGGTTTTAAAAAATTAAATTAGGAAAAAGGCAAAAATACGAAAAATAAAACTATCGACTTGTGTCGGAACCGAACCCCGACCTGGACTTTAAGAGTCTCAGGTCGTCCCATCTGTGTCAAGGCAACAGTTACTTTTGAATTGCAAGTGCTATGACACTACGCTCGTAATATGACACTACGCGCGCTAGCTTGTGTAAAAAGGCCTTTAATTTATTTTACTGATTGTTAATCAATTGACCACAACTTTTCAAAAATAGTTCTAGAAGAAAGATGCAGCGGTGATACCAACGATGGAATTAGCCTGAAAAATTATGTGTGGATTTATATTCGCCTCACTTTTCCCCCGCCGATAGAGTCATCGTCTGCACATGCGGACTCCCCCTCGAACCACTTGGCCTTGATCTTGTCCAGTTCACCCGACTCCTGTAGCCTCAAGATACTCATGGTGATTGTCTCCAGGTAGGGTGCTCCCTTTGGAACTGCAAAAGCGTAGTTCTTCCGGTTGAACGGCTTTCCCACTGTTGTCAGTGTCTGTTCAAATATTTGTTGGAGAGATATTACAATTTTTTGTTTACGCTGCAAAAAAAAAAGTTGAAATCATGCAGAAAATCAGCAAATTAAATGATTTCATTTTTTTCGGTTTCAAGAAAGTTCAGTGCCAGGCGAAATCGGCCATAATTTCTTTTCAAGAAATCTTAATATGAATTATAATCTGAAAATTTCTCTAAGAATCATGGAAGATATTTTGGTGCTACTTTCTTACATTGCAGTGAAGTTTTCGATGGTACTGCAAAACAGGGTCGTCCCAAAGAAAGGCGAAGTTTCCTTCCAGAACTCTTCGGATTCCTAAAGACAACATCATAAACTATGTTGTCTCAATGATAGCAAACTTTGCTCCTAGAATGAAGAGCAAGAGTTATGTTTGACATTCAACTCTATAGAAATTTGATTGATAAAGGTGCAACATTTAGGTGCTACGGTTTTGAAATGTCTGAGGATGCTACCGTTAATAGCTGACCTTCATCTTCGTCATTCACCATAGGCGATGGCTCAGCAGTGTCCATGTAATTATAAATCCTCTCGTACAGAGGGTCTATTTTGGACTGCTCCTTGAAGAACTGTTCCAGACTACTCGGCGACACAGTACCGTACGGTATCCTAGTCTGACTAGCCAGACCATCCAGCGACTCAATTGGAGTCTCCATTCTGGTAACGGTCAGAAACGCTGCTAAGTTTGCAGTGTAAGTAGCGATTATTATCAGTGTGAAGAACCACCAAAATGTCCCGAGTATCCGCCCCGAAACGCAAAGGGGCGTGGCATCTCCGCCTTGCTGCATTAGAGACGCGAGAGCAAACCAGATAGAGTTCTTCAAGTTGAACTCGTCAGTACCTAGTTGGTTATAGCGACTAAACGGACTAAGTCGAGAAAGTACGAATAGCATCAAACCGATTCCAAATGTAGCGATTGAAATGCAGATCCAAACTTGGACTGTCAGGGGTTCAAGGAATCCAAAAATGCTGGTCGTTTTCTGTGGTTTGGGAATGAGGATGGAGACCCCGTAGTCCATATAGGAGGCGGTGAAGTCCACTACTAATTCTCGGTCGTAGTTTCTAATCATTCCTGCCACGGCCATGTGTGCTTTCTTGTAAAGGATGTCTCCTGAAAAATGCAACGTCATCAATTTTCAATCTATACAAAGTTTTCCAATTACACTATTTTTTTGTTTCACATGATTCATGTATAAAAAGTTCTTCATCTACGGTTTTTTTTTTCTTTTTTTTTGAGATGATGTGAAATTTTGTTTGATCACGGATTGCTTAAAAAATTCATGCACTTTCTAACCAATCAGACCACTCCATTTGCCTCCCGCTTCCACTCCGTACTGATTATCTTCCACTTCGTATATTTCATAGTTGAACCTGTCATCGTGCAGTTCTTTCTGGATGGCCTTGAGGATGTCGATACAGCATCCCTCGTAAGACACTTGTCCGTTCTTCACTGTTTTGATTATGAACGGGTGTTCTTCAATTGTCACGATTTTCAAAGTCATGTCTTGAAGAGACGAGTAGCCAATCTATAAAATCTTAACGGTTGACGAAAACTACTATACTTTAAACTTTAAACTTGCGATTAACAGAGTTTTGCAACCAGGTACTGGACTTTTTTTTGTTAGAAGCTTTATTCACAGAATGATCAAACTTTACCATTCCTTGAAATTTTCAATTAGTTATAAAAATGTTTAGTCAAATACAATTTGTTTTAAATTTTCCTTTTCTCTGTGTATGAGACCCCAGTTTTTCTTAGTGCGTGTTCCTTTGAAAAATATGTATTCTTGAGATAGTCTCTCTCTTTTTTTAAGAACACATGGCCGTTTGATGGCTTGTAAATGGCCTTTTACTCTTCAGATTTTTAATGTAAGTTTCCCAACCTTTCCGGTTTACAAAAAATGTCAATTGTAATTTGTTCTGCATTTTTGCTCTTTTTTAACCCTCGGATCTACCCAATTCAGAGCCTTCCCGGGGGAGAGGGCTGTCATCTGGTCATCTGTTTTCCTTAGCCGTCCTCACCTTGAGGATGTGGATTACATTAGGAACCCTCCAACCGGGAGTGAAATATTTTTGATTTTTTACCTCGAACGCCTTCTCAGTGGTGAGATTGAGTTTGCTCTCCTGGTCCCAGTGTCCGATGTCGACCCAGTGGGTGCCTGACTTGGCCGTGGACACTGTGTGTTTCAGCTTCACACTGATGTAGTCTATGAGGCTGTTGTTCTCACATCTAATCTGACCCGTCTTGCCCACCAACTCAGTGCCCTTCATCACTCTGAAATTCAATTCATTCATGTTCATTTAAATTCATCAATTATGAAGACTTTACTGTTTAAGCGCAATATTTTTCAGCGCACCATTTTCAGTTCAACCTCAAAGTTTTCTGTGTTCAAAAGTTTCAAATGTTATTCATTTCAATTTTTGAATAGCTATTTAATTTGAGTAGTTTTTGAATTTGCGGTTTGAGACCTATGCCCTTTTCAAGGAGGGAAAGAGTGGACGAGATCCAATGTTTTCACAATCAAGGATTGACAATTCTAAGCTCAAAAATAAGTCTGAGGTCTTTTCAAACATTTTCTAACTGTTTTATGGGTCAGCCCGGAATCTTTTCCAAGCGTTTCCTTGATCTGAAAAAAAAAACATCCTTTACTAATTTTCCTGCACCAAAGACGATTTTGAGAGAATAAATACCACAATGACTAAATTGCGAGCTGAAAAAAAAATAACCACTTAGGCGCACTCCCCTATTAGTTTTTGTCACAAATTCAACAGTCGATCTGTCAAAAATGAATGTAGTGATATGGTGCCAAAAGGGAATGATTTCAAAGAAATGACAACTAGAATTGCAAGGAAAAAGGGCAAATGCCTCGCCTCTCTTTCTAAGAATGCTTCTGTACTCACAATTGCAGCTGACTTCCTGACATGAAGGGTTCAAATGTCCCACTAGTGCAGCCGACACGTTTCAGATCAGCCCACTTGATGCTGAAGCGTGTTTTGTTTGCGGTCTTAGCAGCCACCAATAAGGCGTCGTAAAAGTAGTCATAAACCCCCTGCTCCGGGTCAGCTCCAAAGGTATTTCTCCGGGTCATCGGAGTTGATGCTTTGTTGGTCTTGTACAGTCTTTTTCTCAGGATTGCCACTGCTCGGGTGGAGTTGTCAATTTTGTTCAACTCGTCTTCATCTATTTCTAAAAACCGAAGATTCTGTAGGACTCCGAATTCCTTAATAATGTTTTTGTAACCTGTGGCATACAAACGCATATCATTATTAAAACATTTGAAAAACCAGCAAAGTGATGATGATTTTTTGAAAGATGTCCAATTTTTAATTTAAAACTAATGAGCAACTGAAAAATCAACCTAATATGCTACTAACAAATGAATCAAATTATAAATGCATATTCGAACTTACCATGATTGGCAATAATCCAGTTATACTCTTTTCCCTTAACTCCCAATTCCTTAGCTGTCAACACAATCTTAAACGTGTTCTCCTGACTCGCCAAAATGATAAAATTAAAGAACTCTCCGTCCTTAATAATATCTCTCAACCTCGTCTCCAGTATCCTTCGGTGGTCGTTTTCCAAGAACAGTTTGATTTCGTGGAATTTGATGTCGTATGCTTTCCGTTGGATGTCCGCTTTGATTCTGAGTGCGCGTTCTCGGAATACAGTTTCATCGTAGAGTAGCACCACACTCGGCCACTGTTCTAGTCGAACTATGTCTCCTAGAAGAACGTCTACTGTGCTCCTCATGTCCACCTAGAACCATTTTTAAAAAAATTCCAATGCAGAGGAAAATTTTGCCGAGCTTATCTTTAGTTCGACCAAATTGATTTCCCTAACTCTTCCATTACGTAAAAAAGAACAGCAGACAAAAAAAATGCGCTGCTGGCTCATTTGTGAGAAAGGGAATCAACATTTTCTGAGAAGGTCTCGTTAAAACAGGCTGTTGGCCTAATGCTAACCACTCGAAGCGGTGCTTTGATAGTAAAAACCAAATTCATTTAAAATATTTATTTGCTCCGTCTCGTAAACGAATTTATTATAAGGGGAGGCCCCAAAAGGTTTTTTATTTCAAAGGAACATAACTTCCTCGTAATTTAGTATGCGTCAAAAATGTCTCGCTTTCATTTCATAAAAATATTCTTAAGTATCAGTTTAAAGATTGACCTGAAAAGGGAAGCTGTACGAGTATGAGTTTGGGTCTCCCTGCTGCTGCTGACAGTTTCTCAGATTCACCCCTATGTGGACCACTTGCTTCTCACTCGCCAGTCCCGCCAGAGTGTAGTACGTGCTGCATGAGGTCACTAAAATTCAAGGTCAAGAAGGTTAAACAATTGATTACTCGTAGCTCGAGTTCAGTTCATGTATCCACACGAACAAAGGCCCAATTTAGATATCTGTTCAGCTGTTTTTATAGAACCGCTGTATTGTGCCTTATTTACATCTGCATGCATCTTTTTTTCTGGTTCACAAACATTTACATGACCCTCAAGCAACGAATACTTCAATTTTTTCAATTTCAGAGTCAAACGCAATGAATCATAAAGTAAAGCGCCATTAAAAACATTATTATTTTAACTTAAATGTTCCTAACAATCAAGACTTTTAAGTTTTATTATAGTGTCTCGTCCCCAGAGTTTAAAGTTTTCGAGTTCTTTAAATTCTTTTAAAAATTTGTTCTAGATTTTATTCTCTCGCATATCTTTTTATATATTTTTTTAATTCTCTTAGTAGCTTTATTTGAATGATGTTGTTAGTTCATTCGTTTGAATGATGGTGGTTATCTTACTTGATATGAATATCCCCACTTCATTATACATCATCTGACAAGCATGCTGCACTGCCATATAAGGATTGACTTCTCCCAGTCTTCGTATTAGTAGCTGGATCCTGATGTCTGGCTTGTATATGTCATTGATCTGCTCCTGGATATCTCGCATGACTGCACTGTCTAGGTCTGGTCTCTCAAGAATAACGCCAATTTTGATTTCTCGATTATAGTTGGGATTAGATGTGGACGACAGTATTCCGACCATTAGTCCTAAAGCAAGTTCCTTTGTTGTTCCGACCATTTGAAACATGGGGAGGAACTTTGTATTCGGGTGCATTTTAGGTTTTAGTTTTTTTTTCCACACAAAATCAGCAACATCAAATAATCATCGGAGAGAGTTGAGTGGTATTTATCATATTAAAGCCCTTTCAGTTGTGATTAAAGCCCTTTCCCTTCCAATGACCTTAAAATTTTTTGAAAATTTTTTCCCAGTGTCGAGAAAAACCGGTTTGAAATTTTGATTTTGCGTATTAAATCGAGCGAATAAAGCGAGCTAGCAGGCTTGCGATAGCTTATTTTAATGGCTTTTGAAAAGCTTACAATTTAAGCCGTAAAAACTCAGCTTTACTCGGGTAAATTAAGTTTTTTTGAGTATTTTAGAGCCTTTTTAGAATCAAAAACTTCAAAAATTCAAAAAACTGCAAAAAAAATTGAAGTTTTTTTTATTTTTTTTTGTTTTTCTTGTTATTTTTCTTGAAAAATTGTTTTCCAATTTGCGTACTTCACTATCAGTGTCGAATACGCCTAAGCTCTTGTTTTTTGTTCAGATCCTTTTTTCACATTAAATAAAAAACACTAATTTGAAAAAAAAATCTTGTAAATTTTCTAACACTAAGGTCGGAACAGTCTGTGCTACTTGCACAGTAAATTGCTATTCTTGTTGTTCCGACTTTCGATACGAAAGTAACGGAATTTTTGTACTCGGGGTGGGTTTTTTTTCTTCAGACAAATTTCGACTTTTAAACTAGCCATTTTTGACGGATTTTTTTTTAATCATTCGAAAGGTATTGTTGTCTTGAGCTTAAATTTGAAAAGATATTTCACCTGTGATCATTTTTCGTAAAGTTACGGGGGTTTAAAGATTGCCAATTTGGGACAATTAACGCGCGATATATTTCGCGCTATTAACGCGTAAGCGGAGAGTTAATCCGTCTTAGAAATCGTTCCAAATTGGTTGAAAGAAGCTTATTTGCCATAATTGATTTGTTACAAGGAGCGAAATCTATCCTTTTGTACTTAATATGGCGTGTGGGGGGATGATTTTTAATTTAAAAAAATTCAAATTTTAGAAAAAAAAATTTAATTTTGTTTTAATTAATTTAATTTTTTAAATGTTATTACTGCTCCATAAACATTAAAAGGCGGTCAGAACATTCAGGGCTTCGCCCTGATACGAGCAGTCTTGTTATTTATGTAAACAAAGCAAAATATCCTGGCAAGCCGTCAATATTTCCCAGTTCTGAATTGTATTGATCTCGACAAAGAGCTTTTTTTCATAATCTCCCCTATGTTTTGACGAAACATTTGATCGATAATGAAAGTGAAGTTACACTAAGGAAATAGTCAAAACTTGAGAAAAAGAAAGAGTACTTGCCTGTTAGAATTAACCAAGTCAAACCGGCCATCGTGAAAGTCAATATCCTGATGAAGGTAGTTTTTAATTAAATTAGCCTTTCGGTGGTTGTCTGGTATAATAACACAGAAAGTAAGCGAACTGCTCGTCTTCCTGCCTACCTTCAGCGTGTCAGATTGTCTGAATTTGTCAACTTCAAAAGGAGCTTTATGGGTCTATCAAAGACACTCTGAGGTCATAGCGGGATTCCATTAACAGGTTAGAAGATCGAATCTAATCTGCCCCGTTATCATCACCATCTAATCATGTACCTTGCGGCTCTAGAGCATTACTCGCACTACAGTGATAAAAGCGAAATAATGCATTTAAAGTGCAAATTAAATCGGTCAAAATACAAATAACATACGAATTCTGTCTCCAAAAGAAGAACTTGAAACAGTTAACACAATTGAGTATTTTCCAACGTTCAGATGATGGACTTGAATTAAATTGGATATTTGAAATATTTTTTATGCTTTAATGAAAAATCAGAATATTCCAATCGGATTCAGTAGGAAGGAACATTGTTTGCCAAATAACACGTCCAACTTTAATATAGAAAGATTAAAAACCCAGACTTTGATTAATCCATCTGATTATCTCTTTCCATTTGCCAATAAGCATAAAAAATTACCAGCTAGAAAGTTTTGTTTCAAATTTAGCAAGAAGCAATGGATCGCGCTGCTCTAGACCAGAATGAATGCTACTATATTTAAAATTCAATGCTAGTCTCCATTTGAGATGAGACATACTTTGAAACTAAAAAAAACTTCACCATCAATCGAAATGATATAGTGATGTTGGCTGCCTATGTGTACAAGACCGGACATTTTATGGTGGGCTTTTTGTTCCGATTACTTTTAAAATTCAGCAATCACAGCTGCGCAAACTGACTACAGTCAGTATTCACGCTTTTCTGATGGATATTTTGAGATGGATACGCTCAATTATTCTGAATGGTTTCCCCAAAGTAAGATATTCATGCAAGTGATGCTATGTTAATATGAATGTGACATAAAATTCATTCTCAGTATTACCCTTAAAGATGAGTTCGTTCGTTGTCGGTCATAAAAAGTTTTCAAATAACATTTTGTTCTAATTTTGAAACCAATATTTGACTTACAAACAAACTCAGCTTTTAAATTTGGTCACCACAGAATATTAAGACTCAGACTTATCCAATTTTACCTCTGGTTAATGCTTAGATGAAATGTTTGGGCACAATGGTCTGGTGTGACATAACTTCAGAGATAATATCACTCTGACGAGATGAAGACCTGTCATTCTTTGCGTCCATAATTTAAATTTCTGTCGTCTCCGATCTTCTTGAGTGTTCTTAGCTTATCTCAAGACAAATTTAATTCAGAATATTAAGTGACTGCGGTTTATTTTCAATTCGGGATTTCGTCTTGAACAAGAAATAGAAATGAGAATTGAAATTAAAAGCAAAAACCATTCAATAATCACAAAATTTAAAATTCTTGAAAAACGAACTTGATCACCGGCCCTTTTATAAATTTAAGAAAACGCATGGTGTGATTTAGTTTATGCATGGTGTGATTTAGTGAAAATTTAATGAGCGAAGTGAAATGTCCTTTATTGTGGTTTTTGTGTTTTTTTTTCGGGGAAAAGTCGCCTTTAGCCGTTTGACTTTGATTTTTTTTAAGTTCCTTTCAAACCCATTTGCTACATGGAAATCAAACTAAAAACGTGCTAATGGCACAAGTTTCAGCTTTTAATTTTAAAATTTCTTGGTAGAGTAAAAATCAAGTTCATTCCAGTAAGGTTAGTTCTATCAAAAAAAGTGTCATGAATAAGAAAATCACAAAAATATAACAGCTTTTGGATGATTCATTTTTAACTGACATTATTCGAAATTTAAAAAGTAAAAAACAAGTAACTTTTGGGTGAATTCATGACCCTTTTTTAATTATCTGTTGCCTATATTTTGGTGGTTTCAAAGTTGCTGTTCAGTCCCTATTTTAGTCCGGATTCATTTTCATTTAGGCAATTAAGCGATAAGTATTCCGATTGCCATTTACCGTACTTAAAATAGTTTTTGGTGAGAAAAAATGAGTGAATGATTTAAAAAATTTTGACATTTATTTCAAATTTGTTTAAGCTTTCTTACCACATGTTAGCTGATCTTACCAATTCTGATCAATTAGCATGTCTCAAATCAATTTTAAATGCTTTTAGAGCTGAATTATTTTGCCACCTTCGCTACACGTTAATAAGAAACTAGAAAATTCGTGCTCAGCGTGTCGTATAGCGCATTTTTAGTTAGCGTTTGTGCGATTTGCAGAGGATCTATGAAAGTCCTGTCTAAGCATAGTTCTTTTCTCTTATTTCCTCACATTCCAGACTGAGTTATTTTGTTGAGCAAAGCTCCTTTTTTGCGACTCAAGGCCGTTTCTTTGCGTCTAGAAGTTTCACGTGATACCACTGTTGCAGCCGTAATCACACACTATGATTGCCATGGCAGGGGAACAATTACACAATCTGACGATCACGAAGGGAACGCCTTACCACTATGCCAAGTGCCTCGATAGAGTTCTCTGATAGATCAAAGTATATCGGGTACTGGGTCCTTCTTTTTTCTCACATGCCGTTATTCATAATGTTTTCTTTTCGACCAGATGTTTTTCCGGAATAATATTTGTAAATTTTTCCCCCAAAATGCATCCCATACAAGGTCGAGTGATATATCACAATGAATCTATTTCAGTCATAACTTGGATTGCGAAAAGTTAATTCTGAAAAATTGCCTCAGTTTGGAAAAAAACTGGCCGGAGGCTGATGAGTAAGCTAATTAGAAAGGCGAGCGTGTCTTATTTTAGCAATTTACAGGCAATTTTAGCTTGTTTTGAAGCTGAAATTTTGCAAAAAAAAATGTGTATTAAAACTGAAAAGAAAACCTTTTTTTCAGTGCTGTTGTGGTCGGATCTTATTGTGCTATTTACACTGCTAGTGGCGGCCATTGTGCTCTCTTTTTTCCACCATTCTTTTTTTTCATTGTCTTTTTTTGTAGTCTGAGTATTCTCTCCCTACCATTAATTTTTTGAGCAGATTTTTATGTAGATTGCCAGATTGCTGATCTGAGATTGATGAATTATTGATTTTTCTTTTGATTTTTTTGTTTGTGGTGATAAAATTAATAAGTCTACGTCCCAACCAGTAGTGTTCATAAATTTAGCATACAAAATGTTTCCAACTTAAATTGATTTTCGCACAAAATAATCTATTTTTCCGAAGAATTTTTTATTGAGAATTTTATTTGCGTTAGAAATTTTGAAATTTCGTGCGATGCTTCTGCCCTTGATTTTTCTTCGCATTCGTTTAATGTTGAGTTTCTCCATAGAACGTGCAATATTAAATTCAATGACCTTGATCGTGTCACTTTATGATGACGTTGGTCCATTGTTCTTATCGAAGCTTAGTAAGATGCGATAATCTGTCTTTGAATATTATGTTTTCCCAGACCTCTTTGATCTGGCCAACTGATATTTATCGGCTCCCTTTGTCATTTGAAAGAAAAAAACTGCGCCTGCATTCAAGCGTTGGTTTTTAATTCTTTGAGAGTCTATATACATTTTTATTTTAATACATTAAGCACTGTATTTGATTCAAATTCGATCTAATTTTGTTTTTATAGATTTTGCGAACTGTATTCAATGACAAACATGTACAAGCAAGCATTTAGTAAAACACCAAAACTTCACTTTATAAAAAACTCGTTATTTTCAAAGTGCCGTAATATTTTGATAAATTGACGGAGCTATCATGAATTGCTTTGAGCTCTCCTGATTTTAGCTACAATTTAACTAACATTTTTGGGACTTCTAGAATAGTCTAACTTTTTGCAGATGGTTCCAGCTTTGATTTATTTTGGCTGAATTTTTTTGAACTATTATTTTTTTAAAACTATTTTTGACCATGTAGCGAGTTCTTACTTATGCGAAGTCCTTAGTATACAACAATGCTTACATCTCGAAGCAACCCGACAAGCTCAACATCTTTGCCTCTTGTGCCCAAAAATGGCATCATATCCCATCGGAATGATTCATCGGAAGATAGTAAGCAGTGTGAGTGTTGTAGGAATTCGAAGCAGATGGTGGAGCAATTGAAGACGCAGTTGGGGGGCAAGGAAAGCGAGTTGGTTGAAATGAGGAAACAGCTGTTCGAACAGGTGCAGATTAATGAACGACAGATGGCAGTGCAGAAAGAACAGGTTGGTAGTAACATTTTCTAACCCGCTGATGCTCCTTTTTTTCATTTTGTAGAAAATTATAATTTTTCGCAAATTGAAAAAAGTTACAAGCCACTGTATATGTCCTCATTTTGACTGTGATTAATACCATTCATAGGTGGCCCGAGCCGCTCCCCTTGCTATGTATGACCAAACAATTTTAAAATAGAAACAGAAATTGTCGAAGCAAAAAAAACTATATCAAAACTGACCTATAAAGTTTTGGGTAAAATAAGTATTTTACGGTCTTTTAGGTCACCTTTTATCACCAACATATGCAACAGAAATTGTCGAAGCGAAAAAAAAGAAAATTACCAAAACTGACGAAAAAAGTTGTATAAATTAAGTATTTTTAAGGTCTTTTAAGTCGCTTTTTGACACCAACATATGCTGAGTCAAAATTACCAAATCAAAAAGAAGAGAGAATCGAATTTTTTTGATAATTGTCTCTCACTCAAATAAACTGTAACCTACGTGAAATATAAAACTCATGATTATTTTGTTGATAAATTGCTGGATTGTGTAGACGAGAATAGCGGAGGAGTTGTCTGGAATGGGAGCCCAGTGCAAGGGGGAGAGACATCTGCAAGTGATGCAGCGACAGAAGGAGGCACTCTCCGATCTCAGACACCGGATCAAACTCCTAGAACAGAACAGACCGCCCAGTCAGTATTCCTTTATCATAAGCACTAATGTTGTAATTTACAGCTTATAATTTGTATTTAGTTGTACAAATGGTCAAATTTTGTGGAATAATCAATTGATCATTTTATTTGACTGCTTGTTTTGTTTAGAAGCAAATATAGTTTCCCCTGGCAAATATAGTTTGCTGGTTCTTTTAATTAGAAATTTATTTTATTTTTAGAAAAAGGCAAGTTTCTCGAAATGTGAATCTAGTTGTCATTAGAGCCATTCCATGTAGTTCATAATCCAGATTCCAACACTCACAGCAAGTAAAAAAAAAACTATCCGTTTGAAATATGTGACATTTAAATTATTTTTTTTTAAGTTCCCACTGCTGACCAAGCATTAGGCCAAGTTGCGCTTCTGCAGCGCGAACTGGCAGAATTAAAGGCACAACAAGGTGCCGGATCCGGTCAAGACATCCCAGGACTAGACATTGACGACGAAGACTTCATGGACGCCGACTCCGGAGAGGTCAAGAAAGGCCGCGGTAAGATCGAAGAGGCACTTCTGAAAGCAAACAGAGTCGAAAATGCAGAAGCACTTGACCTCAGTGAAAAGAGCTACTTTAGTCTGACCAAGTCTTTAGCTCGAAGGCTGGGTTTGGAGAACATGAACGGGAATCGAACCTTAGCCCATATTTCAAGAGACGAGAGGGAAAAGTTATTTGTGGAACGAGAGAAAGATATTGAGCAGATTAATTCAAACGTGGGTGCCCTGCAGTCGCGAGTTGAACGAAAAGACGAATTGTTGAATACATACGAGAAAGACCTGAACAAACTTAGAGAGATGGAGGCTATTGCTGCCCAGAAGCAGAAAGAAGTGCTCAAAGCTAATGTAAATATCGAACTGTATTTGAAAATTTTCTTTCAAAGTTTCTACTCAAATTATGCAATTATTAACAACTATAAAGTTCTTGCGAGCTAGAATCCCTTTCCTCAGCATTTCCTCGAACTAAACAGTTCTAATTGTATCTTGGGATTTTTCTTATTACATCCTGAAAATTATATAAGAAATACTCAATAAGAAAACTTTGTTTTGATGGATGTTTTTAAAACAAAATAATCAGCTTTTTATAAGAGCTAAAAAATCAATAAGCAGATGAATTTAGGCAGACCTGCGGGCGAAGAAAGAGGAGATCGAGTTCATCCGGGAGGCTCTTAGGAGGACGAAGGAGGACTACGAAAGAGAGAAGAGACTCAATGTTGCAATAAAGAGTAAAAAGGTAGTAACTTCTTTACACACTTATGTGAGTAATTACAACTTTCTTTTGATCGTTTAACTTTAAAATAAGGAAGCTCTTTTCTGTGACTTGTTAAATACTTTTACAAAAAAAACTTCATAATATTCTTATAGTTAAACCGTCAAAAAAGCACACCCACTTCAATGATTTTTGACTAAGACTTGGCTCAAGGTTTCGAAAGTTTTGCTGCGATGTCATTGAGAGCATCGAGGTATTGTTTGAACATTGAGCCTTCGCTGGACAGTATGTTTATTTGTTCACACAACTCAACAGGGTGAGTTCTTGGAGCAGTTTGAGAAGCAGGCACAGCAGAACAAAAGTGGCATGCAGGGTGTGAACAAGACGGGTCATAGTTGTGTGCCTGAAGATGTGATGGGCAAGGACAGCAGACGCAAGAGGGAGGAGAACGAACGCCTCAAGAAGAAAAGCTACGAGGTGGAGAAACTCAAGGAGGTACCAATATATCCATCTCTTTTCAATTTAGCTACTAATCTAAGAAGTTGCAAAACAATAGAAGTAACCGCAACTGATCTACATGTAAAAACACTTAAGTGAATTTGAATATCTCAAGTCAGTTAAGGATTTTTGTGTCCACTTTAACAGTTTTTTTTTAAACATCGATCAATGGCCAATGCTTTCTTTTCAGCTTCTTAAAGAGAAGGAGAACCAAATATCGGAGTTATCGGTCAAAGTAGTCAACTATGAAAGCACCGCGGTAGGAATAATTCATATTCATTTTCAAATTCGAAAAAAGTTTTAATGAACCCTACATCTGTCAATAACTTGTGTTTCAGGAAGCTCATTGACAACATCCGACTGAAAACTGGCCACAAAAATGATCCTATCTGTCCTTAATGCAGCAAACTTTTGATGGTTTCTGTCTTCGGTCTATTCTATCGAATCAAATTGACTTTATTATGAAAGTACAACCGTGTTTTAGATCAAAAGCATTGTGCATATTTGTATATAATTAAATAAAATTATTATATGTGTACATACTGTTTAGTTAAAAACTGAATTTTTGTCAAAGACATGAAGTTTTTTGGGAAATTAGAGTTTCGAAGAGATAAAAGTAGTCATGTCAGGTAGTTAATTTTCCGAAATCGGAGTTTTTTAGAGGAAGGTATCACACAGTAACACGTAAAAGTTAGCTTCTCGAGTGGACCTCCAAATGCTTTCTGCAAGTCAATCTCAGTTGCATATCTGTTAAAATCTCCAGTTCGATTTCTGTAAAACGTTCTTGCTTAAAACTGTGTTTTGTAAATATCAGTGCCACTTAAATCACGACCAAAAAGTTTCCGTATAATACAACTGTTGACCTGATCTTATGCTTAACTTGACGTATCTGTTCTCGTATATAAAAAAATTTTATGTTTCAAATCAAACAAAGGTATGCCGTTAAGAAAGAAAAATCTTAGGCACTTAGCATAGTGGTAATGCGTTCACTTCGAGATCGTCAGATTGCGTAATCGATCCCCTGCCATGGCAATGATAGTGTGTGAGGACGAGCTCTCATTTGACCTCTAGCTTCAGGTTTACCTCAGCCTGACCGATTACGGTTGCAATATTCGTACCACGTGAAAGTTCTAGACGCAGAAAACGGCCTTGAGTCGCAAAAAATAGAGCTTCCCTCAGCAAAATAACTCAGTCTGGAACGTGCGGAAATGAGAGAAGAAGGACTATGCTTAGATAGGCTGGATAGTTTTTCATAGATCCTCAGCGAATCGCAGAAACCACAATTACAAATCTAAACAAGTAGCAATTTTTTCCACGGACTAGCAAAATGTAGCTCGCAGCCATTTTACAACTCGACTAGACTGAAAAATAAAGAGCGTTATTTGTGGAGAACTTTAATTAACAAGTATTTTATAAGCAGCCTCTGGCGCCCGCATATAGTAGTAGGCTTTGAAAAATGAACAGCAAAACTCATTTATTTGAGGTAATATCTAGACCTTGGAAGATTTTCAATATATATTTTTTTGTCCTGTTTTGGTGATATAAGTTTTCGGCTTTGTTTAAGTCAATATTTCAGGCTGTGGTAGACCTGAAGTTTGAAGTCAAAAGTGAGCTCGTCCTCACATACTTTCTCACACACGCGAAACTAACACAAGCAAAAACACGATTTGAGACAGTTTCGTGTTTTCTCAGGTTTAGCAGGGTGTCTGTACGAAAAAGAAATTGCCAAAGCATAGTGGTACACCGTTCAATTTGAGATTATCGCATCATGAATTCGATCCCTGCCACGGCAAAGAAAGAAAGTATTGGAGGACAAGCTCCCACTTCACTTCTAACTTCAGGTCTGCCACAGCCTGACTAATGTCAGCTGCAATAGTAGTACCAATGGCAAGTTTTAGACGCAACAAATGGCTTTGAGTAGCAAACATTAACTTCGCTCCACAATAAAATTCTGCGTGGAGTGTGCGTAAGTATTAAAAACGGACCATCATTAGACAGGCTTGTTAGCTTTTCTTAGATCCTCTGCGGAGAATCACAGACAACATGTATGTTATCCTTTTCAATGTTTTAGCAAAATGATTTTTTCTGATTATTTTACTCGATAATTTTTTTTATTTTGCTTGTTTTCGAAGTTTCAGTGTAATAACGCATACGCGAAATGATAAAATACTGAACTTTGTGTTTGTCGATAAGTTCAACCAAGTTGTTTGCTGTCGTTCTTTTTCAGGTTAGTTACTTTTTCTTGATTTGACGTTATTTGAACCAAATTAGGAGATAAAGGCTTTGAGCCAGAAAAACTTAACTCTGTCACTAACAAAATTATTATTTTTTAAAACTTTTTCTCTTTTCTTAACTGTCCAAAGTTAGTTTTTTCTCCACATTAGAAATCAAAGTTTTTTCTTAATTTATCAATTTTAGTTTTTGTTTTAATTGTTTATATATACTTAAGTGCAAATTGTTTATAGTAAAGCGTGTTCAGTGTAATAACGCATACGCGAAATAATAAAATACTGAATTTTTTGTTTGTCGATAAGTTCAACCAAGTTGTTTGCTGTCGTTTTTTTTCAGGTTAGTTACTTTTTCTTGATTTGACGTTATTTGAACAAAATTAGGAGATAAAGGCTTTGAGCCAGAAAAACTTAACTCTGTCGCTAACAAAATTATTATTTTTTAAAAAATTTTCTCTTTTCTTAACTGTCCAAAGTTAGTTTTTTCTCCACAATAGAAATCAAAATTTTTTCTTAATTTATCAGTTTTAGTTTTTGTTTTAATTGTTTATATATACTTAAGTGCAAATTGTTTATAGTAATGCGCGTTCAGCTGAATATAGGATGAGACATCACATTACAATAAAGGTTTTCAAAATTGTTTTTTGATTTACTCGCTTTATTATCTCCGCAACAAGTACCTGCCCACTCAAAAATTTGTGTAGAGTTTGCTGGGGTTAGTGGCAAAACAGCACAAAAAAAACAAAAACAGAAAAAAAACAGCGCAGGAGATTAAACACAGAACCGAAGCTGAGCTTTGCACCATTTGCGATACAGAAAACCACCGAAAAATTTGAAAAAAATTTCCAAAAAAACAACACCGAAATTTTGTGTTTGTCTCAAATTAAACTCATTTGATGAAAACTTTTGGCGGAAGACAAGAACCAGCATTGAACTAGCTTGAAAAAGAAACCAGCGATAACTATGCAGACAAAACCGGGATAAATGGAAAATAGGAAAACTAAAACGAAAAAATCATTCAAAAAATACTGGAAAAAAAAACTGATAGTTCTTAAGGCAGTCTAAAACCAAGTCTTCTTCTTAGAAACGTTTTCATTCTAGAAAGATATATAGGATAGACAGCATTTAGAGCAAAATAAAATTCAATTGACGAAAAATTGATGCACAATTTTCCCCAAAAAAATGCAAATATGCTCATGACTTCAATTGCCTTCGCCAAAAAGAACATGATAAGAACAGCAGGCAGCTCAAGAATTATCGAGAAAAATAACGAACAAAGTTTTTTTGAAAAGAGAACAAAGTTTCTAATTTTTTTCAAAGAAAGTCAAAGTGATTTTTAAATTCCAAATATACCTTATCAAAAATGAATTGATATCAAAAAAACGATTAGAAACAAATAAACAAAAATTTGAAAAAATCTTCATCATCATCATTGCCGCCTTATCCCGTTCAAACGGGGTCGGCGGGGCGCTCCTGAATCTTCGAGCGCCAGAGTTTGCGGTCGTGTGCGTCGGCTTCCGTCATTCCTCGTCTTCTCATTTACTCCTTCACGTCCTCTATCCATGTCTTTCTTGGTCTTCCTTTGCGTCTTTTTCCAGGGACCTCAAGGGAATACGCTTCTTGGATTGGATTACTATCTTCTCTACGCACGACATGCCCAAACCATCGCAATTTAGATTTTTCAACACAGTCAATAACGGTCTTCTGAATACCAAGTCGGCTCAAAATCGAGTCCGATGGAATGCGATCTAATAAGGTTACTCCACACATCATTCTGGCCATGCGCCTTTCCGTTGAAAGTAACCTGCGTTTGTGTTCTAATTTGAGTGTCCAAGTTTCACAGGAGTACGTCATCACTGGTCGAACACAAGCACAATAAATAAAACCTCTTTGTTTTATGGACAGTCCCCGTTTCCCGAGTAAAACGCCACCATGGTTATGAAACGCAAACCATGCCTTCTTGATACGCTCGTTTATAGCAATTTCACAGTCTCCAGTAGCATGCAACGTGTGTCCCAAGTAACAAAACTGACTAACACTCTCTAACTCGTCGAAACTGTTACGGGGTGCAGGATCACTTGCAGCTGGGGTTTGGCATGTAGAACACTGAAAACTCGACTCGTGTGGTGATAAACTTCCTCTAATACCGGTACAGCGTCCATGTACCCATTTTCTGCAAAGAGTGCACATAATCGAGTTTCTGCCAACTCTAGTTCCACAAACGCCGCAAGGATAGACAGCAGCAATACGGGTGACACTAGGGAAGTCTCCCATTCCCTTGGTTTTGCCCACATTAACCCGAAGGCCTTTAGATTCCAATGCTGACTTCCACATTCTGTACTTCCTCATGACTTCTTCGGGTGTCTCTGCTGCGAGTGCTATGTCATCCACATACAACATTTCCAGTATGGAGCCATCTCGCACTTCTTCAGTCAGATAATCCATAATCGTGATAAACAGGAGGGGGCTGAGGATTGAACCTTGATGCACATCAACAGTAACATCAAAAGCATCTGTCGGTTCACCGTCCACAATAAATGAGGTCTGACAATTGTCATATGTTGCCATAATAGCGTTTATGAAATGCTCTGGTATGCGTTTATGCCTCAAACTTTCTATAATGAGGCGCCGCGGGACACGGTCAAAGGCCTTCTCCAGGTCGATAAAAATCCAGTAAAGGGGCTTCTTTTTTGCTGCAAACTTTTCGCAAGGTTGGCGGGCAACAAAAACTGCATCGACAGTGCCGCGACCTGACATAAAGCCATACTGTGTTCTGTCAATTGTAATCATATCACGGAGCCTTGACTCAAAAACCTTCTCCAAGAGTTTAAAAGAATGTTCCAGTAGCTTTATATCACGATATGAGTTGGTACTGAGAGGGTCACCTTTACCTTTGTACAGTGGAATCAGAGAGCTCTTCGGGCATCTTACCACTGAATAAGATCTGATTGCAAATAGTTGTCAGTACATCAATGCAAGGGTCACCGGCAGCTTTGAGCACCTCCGCAGTGATACCACTGGGCCCTGGAGCCTTCTTGTTCGCCAACGCTCGCAAGGCACTCTTAACCTCTGCCACTGCAACTTCCTCGCAAGGTCCTTCTACAGAAGGTTTGTCACTACTAGTGTAAGGATGTTCAACATTCATGATTTCATGCATATGGTCTTTCCATATTTTCTTACGAGCAGCAATGTTAGTCTGCAGTTTCCCTTCTGCATCCTTCAAGCATTTCGTGCCGACTTCGTCTTGTCTTGCTTGGCCCTTTGCTTTGCTATGTTGAAGATCTTCTTAGAGTCAGCTTCTGCAATAGCTTGATTTACTTGATTGTTGATGGCATCACGAATCGTATGCTTCGCAGCACGTTTAGCATTCGCATACGCTGTCCGATTTATATCGTTTCTGTTTCTGCGCCAGTTGTTTCTTCATTTTCACAGCTTCTTCTACTTCTTGGTTCCACCACCAAGTTTCACGTGAGGCTGCATGTCCTCGAGAAACACCGCAGACATTTTGTGCTACCTCAAACAAGTTGTTCTTCAGCCCCTCCCATGTAGTAGCCTCAGGTGTCGCAGCAAACTCAGTAGTGAAAAGTTTCTTTGTCTCTGGATCACGTAGTTTCCAAGTCTTTATCCTTGGTTGTCGCTTGACTTTTCTTTGTTTGTGGACTTTCTTCTTGGTAAATTCAGCTACAACAAGTTTATGCTGAGTGCCAACTGGAATAGTCTTTGCATTCTTTAAAGAGATTGAGTCTTTTCTGTAAAGAATATAATCTATCTGGGTTGCAATACGGCCCGACATAAATGTCACCAACTGAGTGTGTGGTTTCTTGAACGCAGTGGTGGCAATAAACAGTCGTGGAGACATGGCACAGTTCAGTAGTCGGACGCCGTCACTGTTCTGGCTTCCATAACCAAAACCACCATGTACACTTTCGTAACTTGCGTTGTCCTCGCCAATGTGTCCGTTGAAATCACCACCAACCAGCGGGTTATCGGTCGTCATCAACTCACGCTCAAGGGCATCGTAGAATTGATCTTTCATATCTTCTGCTAATTGGCTCTGTGGGCAATACGCAGATATTAATTTGTAGGGACGATCTTCTAAAATAACCGTAACCGAGATGATGCGGTCGTTGACACGGTTGACCTCCACCACACAGTCCACTAAGTGTTCAGCGACAGCAATGCCAACTCCATTTTCTGCCTTCTTTCGCCAGACCAGAAGAACTTGTAGCCGTTTCCAATCATTCTTGTTCCTGCTCCCTTCCACCGAGTTTCTTGAAGGCAGGCAGCATCAACTTTCCGCTCACCAAGTTCTCTTGCTACCTCAACACTCCTTCCAGTCATGGAACCAACGTTCCACGTAGCAACCCGAAACTTGTTTCCTGGCGTGTCAGGCTCTGCAGCCGTCATTTGTCTCAGGGAGTTTCGGGGTGTCAGTGCATTCTTTCTGACGTAGGCCGGCACCGACAACGCCCGCGCAGCACTTCGGGGTGTACTGCCCCCCCCCCTATATTTGGCGTATTCATGATTCAGTAGGTTGAAGCGGGGTTTCACGGCTGGATGCCCTTCCTATCGCCAACCCTCCTCCTTTACCCGGGCTTGGGACCGGCAAGAAACATTACTGGCATGCAATGCTTCCAGGCGGAGTTGAAAAAAAGCAAAAAAAAATCCCATTAAAAGGACATGGAAATTATTTGGAAATGTTTTTTTTTCTAGTTAAAACGTTTTTTTTATGATTTTTTCCTAAAAGACTTTTTCTAAAGAAGGGTGGAAAAATTATTTTAAAATCCTGACAAAACTTATCAAAATTGAATTAATATCAAAAATTAACTGAGAACAATTTAAAAAAACTAGGCAAATGTACCGACAGAGTTACAGCCGACAGTTAATAAGCTGCAAAACAGCCGAATTTTTTTTAGTAAAAAAAAACAATAAAAGAATTGCATCTACCGGCCACAATGTAAGCACTATACTGCCAAAACCAGTACGCTTTATACCTCTAAATTTATCATTTCAAACTTCTTTCTAAATGTTTATCCTTCTCTGAACAAAGTTATTTTACGGGAAAGTAAGTCTAGTACCCGTTTACAACACCCTTGCTTATCGCAAGGGTAAAATGTGTAATTGACAAAGAAATTACCCCGAAATTTTGTCATTTTATAAGTATTTGGTTTGAATATCCGAAACTCAGTCTGTTTAGAGATAGTTTAGATTTAAAAAGTCGCAACGTTTCGCCTGTTCGAGAAAAATTGGCTGGCTCTCGGACTTAAAAGCAATAAGTCTTGCAAAAAGAGGCAATCCTAGACTTAATCGTTTTTTCAGTATTAAAAATTGTAGACTTTTTAGACGCGTTCCCTTTTTTTTCAACTCTATTAGCCAGTGATCAAAAGTAATCATCGCAAAGGCTTTGTACCTCTTCGTTTTCTGAACATTTCATATCACGAAGTGCACAAAAGAACTATTGCTTCTGATGTTCGTACCAATTTTCACTACCTCATACCTAAAAACAGCTCGTATGCAGATAAGTGTGGCGTCATATTAAGGTTCGACAGTCCGTTGAAAAATTCTGAAAAAAATTCAAAACAGATAATTGTGTAAAAAACTTGTCTGGATTTTTTTCAGGTTTAAGGACACAAGTTTCACGTGAGGCTGCATGTCCTCGAGAAACACCGCAGACATTTTGTGCTACCTCAAACAAGTTGTTCTTCAGCCCCTCCCATGTAGTAGCCTAAGGTGTCGCAGCAAACTCAGTAGTTAAAAGTTTCTTTGTCTCTGGATCACGTAGTTTCCAAGTCTTTATCCTTGGTTGTCGCTTGACTTTTCTTTGTTTGTGGACTTTCTTCTTGGTAAATTCAGCTACAACAAGTTTATGCTGAGTGCCAACTGGAATAGTCTTTGCATTCTTTAAAGAGATTGAGTGGCGTCATATTAAGGTTCGACAGTCCGTTGAAAAATTCTGAAAAAAAATCAAAACAGATAATTGTGTAAAAAACTTGTCTGGATTTTTTTTCAGGTTTAAGGACACAAAAGCAGAAACATTACATGTGAAACTTAGGAGTGTATAAATATTCTATAATTTCAGATAGCTTTCATTTTCTTCTGTAACTCTCATTTTAACCTATTTGAATCACTTTTTTTAGAAAGTTATTTAGAAAATGTACTTACTTTTTTTAAATTTTTCAAAATCATTTCAGTGAAGAGCGGATCTGAAATTTTTCCACTGGAGGGCGGATTTCAAAATTTACAAAAATTATATCGACTTGAAAATTTGGCGCGGAAAAACATTTCAGCAAAATAAACAATTTATTGCTACCGGGTACACTTCAAACCGGCGTTGCAACCGAGTTTCCTCTGAAACCGGATTTTTTTCCCATAAAAAAATGTTCACATAATGGAAGAAACAGAGATTAGGTGTTTTAGTTTTTTCTCTTTTTTTTCTGTTTTCCTCGCAACAACTGATAAATTAAGTAATCTTTGGAATGAGTAAAATGATGTTTCATATTGAACCCCTTTCTATCGTGATTCAAACGACCATTAAATTTTTAGAGACCATGGTCGGAACATTCTATGCTACTTGCACGGATACCGGCTATCCTTGCTAATAGTAGAATAAACTTGATATGTTGGTTGCTTAATCTAGGTTCGCTGAAAGTTAAAGAGAACAATAATGCAGAATTATTATTGTTTTGTTTGTTGAAGTTTTTTTTAATTTTGTTTAAGGTCACGTCTAGCTATAACTTGCATTTTTGGCTTCTCATTTTTCTGCTAACATTTCAAGTGTGCCAGCTTTGTATTTTTGGAAAGTTTTTGTTCATCTGTGTTCTGTATAAACTTTTATTTTAAATTACTTTTCTGGATAGTTGTTGTTTTTGTGTGATCGGAAATTTTGTATTTCCAAAAATAAAAAGTTCCGATCAGACAAAAACAATAACTATACAGAAAAGTAATTTCATGCATCACAATTGACAAAATCGTGTAACTTTTCATTGGCACTAATTTCTGCTTTTTTTTCGAACTCGATTTTTTTTCTTATGAATCGATCGCGCAGCAGTAGATTTAGGGAAGAGAAGTTTTTCCCCCTCAGCTACCTGAATCACTGATCATCGAAAGTATTGACTTTGGTACTATTTAACGACAATTGGCCAACACCTAATACTCAACTAGCTTGCAACTAAGTTGTTTCAAACTAATTGCTAAGCCTTTAACCAGCTTCCTAAAAACAATAATAATGGATTTGAAAGCAACCGTAGAAAAGTAGACTGGATGCATCCAACAGCGCTTTCTAGTTCATGAAATGAGCAATCATTTTTTCGTTTCTTTTTAACCAAAATGGTCACAACTTAAAAAAAACGTGTTAAAACTTAGTTTCAAATTTCAAAAAAATCTATAATGTATTTTCAAGTCAGAAAAAAGACTCTCAAAATGCAACCAGCATACAATTCGACGTTTTTTATTTTAGAAAAAATCGAAATAGTATATTTTGAATACCCATTATTTTTTATATGAAAATCTTGCTGGACTTAGTTATTTAATTTTATAAGACTATAAGTATATCATGTGCTGCCAATAATCCTTTAAATCAGTGGGATTAATTTTAAACATCATTTAGGATTTGGTTTTGAAAAATTTCTTATAAGACATAAACTTTTTAAACGACATAAACTTCTTAAACGACATATCTCATAAACTTTTTGAGAAGTAACAATTACAGCAGACCAGACAGTTTGACACAGAGGCGAAGTTGCACTCCAAAATATGACCAATCACCCTACTGGGAAAAACTGAATGAGTAAGACTTGGAGTCTATAAAATCTCTCAAGTGACGCACGCCAATAATGAGGCTACATAAATGCTAAGTTACTCAAGCCAATTATGACGCAATAGCAGTACCAGTCAATTTGAAAAAGTAATTTACCAACAAACGTGCCTCAATTAATAGAGCGGACGCATTTTAACTAGTATACGAAATAGTTCATCAAAAACATCCCACCCTGCCCAGGTTCTAACCCTCTTATTTTGTTGCGGGTCTTCTTCCCTACCTCTACGCCACAGATACATGATACCTTGAAGCTAAAAAGCTATTTGTAATATTTAATCATAGTCTGTGTTAATATCCTTAGCATTGGCTGTACTTAATAGCTGGTTATTGATCAAAATGAACACTAGTATTTGCGAGTTAGGTTGGAAAAAAAGAGAGTTCATAATATCACACAAGCTTTGCCTGTGTAAACAGTAACAATTAGAATAGCCCAGATTTGAAACTTTTAGAAGTAACCTGACACTGCCACTACACGGTTGAAACTTCAAATATTTTTTGAAAATCATAAAACCGACTCGAAATCTTTTTGACCGACTCGAAACGATTTGAGTAGTCATATTCAGATACTAGATTTGCAACCCCAGGAGTATTCTGAAAGCACCCCCTTTATAGGGCTGAGTTTCAAATATTATGAAGTTTTTAATAAATCTAATCTTTTCAAAAATTTCTGAAAAAATCAATACAATCATCACATCTCGTGAGCGTAACTTAGAAGACTTGAGCAGTCAAACTTTGCGGCCAAACTTCAAGCCTTTGGGAAAACCCTGACATTTACCACCATCATAGGGTTGTTTCGAATTGAATGAAAAATGAACACAAAAGAGCGCATGAAAGAACCGTTGAGCACTCCAACAGATGTATGGTGAAATCGCTATTTCAGTAAACACGAGTTGCAATCTATTCCCATTTTACCATGTCAACATAGAGTCTTCTTCAACATTGTCAAGTGAAACGCCAGTCAAAAGTGTACAGTTTACGCGGAGCGCGCGCCAAAAAAATTATTTTTTTAAAGTTAAAACCTTCTAAAATTTGCTCAAAACAGTAATTTGACCTGCTTTTTCAGAATAAGCATATGGCGAAGAAATTTTTGAGCAAATTAGTGTCTTTACGTTTCGGGAGAGATCGCAAAATCAGCACGCCCGTTTGCTGGAACTGTGTTTTTAATGAATTTAGTCAAGCATTTACTCAATGGTGATGCAAAGTTGCTGTATCACCTAAGCAACATTCTCTCAAATATAGGTCAATCAAAATAATTTATTCTCACTACATCGATAATTTATATTTATATAGATAATACGTTTAGTGTAAATTGATATTCATCTCTAAGGGTGACTACAAGACCAGAGTATAGGTCAACGGAAAGGTCAGGTAAGAAAATAGACTTATGGCTTTGAATAATTCAACAGGAATATAGACACAGCTGGTTTTTCATAAAATCCTTCTTCAACATGAAATTCTCCAATCGATCAATATTTCAATAGAAACGCTGTTTTGATAATTAACAAACGACAAAAATGATTCATAAGTATTCATCATAAGCTTTCAGACTATTACATCATTATAGGTTGGACAACTTGCGTTTGCTTTTACACAGCAGCGGAGTTCAGATTTTTCCAAGACAAGGGCTGGGTATAGTGGGAAAAAAGCAAAGAATATCAATTTCAAACGACGGCGGGATCAAAATCAGGTAACCATTACCAAAATTTGTATCCGTCTTGAAACACATGTTCGATGCCTGTATAACACACCCCCTTTGTACCCGCTGCTGATTTCATAAATCTAAGCGAAATGCAGATATAAGCACCAAGTTCAAACGGCCATACCTACTGTTTTTTCTCTACGGTCACAATAATCTTTACTCAGATCAACACAATCTTATCTTGTGGTACCGATGACATGAGCATTTTCTAGATCCTTAAAGATGATGAGCTCTCTTTTCTCAGTTGGTTCTTTTCAGCATTACATTGGAACACAATCAGATTAACAACTTATATCAAATCAAGAAAGCAGTTAAATGTTTGTTGGTACATGAACAAATCTAGCCATCTCTTGATCTATCTGTACTATAGTTTAAATTTATCAAGGCTTCAGGTATGGGCTGTTTTGTGGTGTGATTTCTTTGATTTATCGGGTCAATTTCCGGTTTTCCTGAAGACTCGGTTACAAGCCTTTAAGGGCAGTTATAGCAGATTCCAATAATGAACACTCGGCCTGAAAAAAAGAGCTGTGAACCTGCAATACGTATTCATTTCCATAACCTGCAATACTTATTCATTTCCCAAAACACTCACACCTCCAGTTTCATTAAGTAGTTTCAGTTGGTCGCATTCATTGAAAAACGAATTTTGTATCAAACAATAAGTTCAAAAATGGATTTCCTTTCTTTGGCGGAGTGTATAACCGAGCCACTATAACCAGCACATTTAGAATATCATAATACAACATACCTTAGAATGCTTGACCATTAATTCGCTGTATTCGATCAGGTATTTTCCGAAGGCCCCTACTTTGCGCTGTTGAACATCTTTCAATTCTGAAACACAAAATGTTATGAACGACAGCTCCCACTTGTGCAGTAATGGTTTTTCAAAAAATGATTTTTAAGATGCTGACAGAAATGTTGAAATTGCAAATCTGCACTGAATTTTTTTGTTACTTAAATTAGTTCGCTAATGATTTTGCTAGTTTTTTGTTTAATCATCGCATAAGCAGTAAATGTCTTGCTGACCTGATTTGCCCAACTCGGTTATTTTTTCATACTTCTCGCATGCAGCTTCCTGCTGGGCCTCCAACTGAAACAAAACGAATCCTTCACAAACACAGATAGATTGCACAAGGAGGACGCTCTAAATTCTGATAATCAATGGAAAACTTTCAGCTTTGAAGCAAAGCGGAGAAGCTTCGCACCACTTACAATGCACCACAGATTCGCACCACTTAGCGGGGAAAAAAGAAGCGGAAAACCACGAATTTTGATACGCTTGTCTCTAAATAAGTTCAACGTTAAATTTGGAGTTAAACAAGCGGCAACTAAGCCGAAATTACTTGAGCATACGACCGTTGAGCCGAATAAAAGTCAAATCGCCTAGATATAAACTTGAGCTTCAAACATTTAGAGTGTGAACAAAAAACCACAAAGCCCAAGTACGTGAAATTTCAGTTCGTTCACAGAGACGCAAAGCTGCATTTCTACGACACAAGTACAAGAATGTCAAAAAGCCTAAAAATCAACAAAACACGAAAATAAGCCTGTCGGAAAAAAGCTCGCGAAAAAACCCACAATCTGCTAGGTCAGAAAACACTTTGACTGTCTATTAGGCAATATGGCCAATGTGACATCAAAAATTAGATGCTTTCACAAATTCTTGATTATTAATTACCAGCCAACGATTCATAGGCTTTATTTATGCCAAATTCTTGACATGCTATTCAACTGCCTCAAGGAATTTGAGGAGTACACAGATCTTTACTGTGAACAGAAAACTAACACTGAACACATGAAAACACTGAGTAAATTTGCGAAATAAAATTGACTGATCATATAACACATACATTGCTTGTGTAATCAAGCCTTTTTTTAAACAAGTTCTAAAATATTGACACAGAGGTGAAGCGGAGCTTTGCACCACTTGCGATACAACACAATCATAAAAAGCATAAGTTGGAAAAAATGATAAATGTTGAAAAAAACTAGGTGAACCAAAATTTTCGTATCTATTGATGAAGGACACAATATTGTTCTTTCTAGTCTCTAGAAGCTTGCTATGCTTTTATAGGAACGCTTTCCAAACAACGAGGCAAGTTTAAAACCCGAGAAATATATTAATCTGATGTCGCAGATCGTCAGGACCGTATTCCTCAGAAGGCTCAGAGGACTAAGAAAGAAATTTAGGCAGAGGCTTTTAATTTTAATCAAGCTGGTCACTCTCGCGGATATCTCTCGAGTGATTAAACAAAGTATTTCCAACCATGAGTATTTGTTGGTGTTAACAGTGGTTATATATAATTAATAAATTTACCACTAAAGTTTCACTGAAGATATTTGCTTATTGTCAAATAAAGAGTTTACAGTTTGAGTTTCTCAAATGTTTTCCCCCAAACGTATTTGCTCGTCCTCTATTTCTTTCTTCGTCGTCTCTTCGTAAATTCGAGTCGAAATAAATGGACCACGTAGGCTTTGTCATCGTCAACAAGGATTCGTAACCATAGATGGAATTTAGGGATGTGACACTACCATCCTTTGAAGAAGTTCCTGGTACGAAAATTGTCTGCGCTTTGCTTTTTTGTAGAAAATATTTGGTTACGGTTTTGATGTTCTCTCGTTCCACACACAGTCCGTTAATCAGATTATATTTGTTTACAAATATACAGCACATGGATGAATACATTTTCATTTTTAGATTTTTAGTGTTTTGTTAGGAAGGTTTTATAAATGATTGATAATTTAAAGGTCGCTGAAAGTGCTTTTACTTAAGTATTAAGGTCCTAATGTTCTTTCAGCGGCACTATGTTTTTATTCATTGTCTCTTGTGCTAATAGGGGTGTCAAAAGTGAAATTGTTTCTATTTTCTCCTTTTTGCATTTGCGGTAGATCCAGATAAATAGTGCGTGGAGTAACATTGATCCGATGAAGAAAACTACACTCATGATTATGAGTTCATCAACGTTAGCCGATCATCGAAGACTTGTTTCAAGGAGGGTCTGAGTCGTTTCATATTTTTGGCTAGTGGTTGGGCTATGTTCTTCAACTGGTTAACATTTTGTATCGAAGGTGAGTCGAGTTGTTCTCGTGCTTCATTGAATAGTTGTATCCCAGCATCTGTTTTGGTGTCGAAGTATTGCATTTCTTCTATTTCGGGTGACTCAATTAACAAGTTTGAAATCAAGTCAGGTAGCTTGACTTTGATTTTGATTGCTGGGAGCTTCTCACATGTAGACAAGTCTGATCTGATTTTAATGTAGTCCGACGAGTTATTTCCCACATTTCAAGGTTATTATGCAGATATTGCATCCAGAGAATTTCACAATGCCACTGGAGGTTGTAGATTCAAAATCTGATTCAAACAGGGTATATGCCGCTGAAGCCGTTGTTATGAGACATACTCCGGAGCCAATGTTTTCTGCCTTTTCAGTAGTTGCAGTTGTTCCGCTGCACATACTTTCAGAGCGTCCTGATTTCCCTTAAAGAAAAGCGTAGCGAGGCATGACCCGTGGCCAGTTTCTGTCGCTATAATTTCATGGAAAATTTGGTATCGTGATGAACCAAGGCAGTGTTTCATGTCATTTTCTGTCAACACAGCGGTTTCCATATTGTCCTTCGAAATGGCCAAGTATGGAGCTTCAGTTCTCCATTTTATTGCTCGACTCTTTTCATGTTGAGGTTTTGGGACAGGTATTGCAAGAAACACAGTAAATGAAGTTTGCCTTGTGGTTAGCAGAATGGCAATCTTCATTAGCAAGCCTTCTTTGATAGTGACGACGTCCGTTAGAAGTTGTGCTTCATAATATGATAGTATTTCATCCATTGGAATCGCAAGAGGAAGTCGATCACGGGCGTGCCTTTGTTTAGCAGATACTGCTTCTAAAATTGCTGTCAGAGATTGTCTGGGTACCAGTGACATGGGTAAAAACCTATTGAGCAGAGAAGGAATGGAGTTAATCATGTTAACCCTGTATGCGTTAAGTGCAGTTCTGTACGATTACACATTTGCAAAAGTTATTGCAAGCAGCGAGGAGACTGTATCATAATTGAAGTTGATTTGTTGTCTTGTGTACAGTGACTGAACGCAATCGCGAAGGAGATGAATGTTGTGCTTGCAGACGGTAAAGTGTTCCTGTATAACTTTCCAGTTGCTGATTTTGAAATTCTAACATTTCTTTCTGTACTTGTTTAATTGAAGATAATTCATTTATCAAAATGAAATATTTTTTGTCCAGACCTTCAGCCAGAGTATAGACGCTTCTGAAAGTCGTGCTGAGAAATCAACAAGTCGTGCTATGCTCTCGGCATTTTCTTTCGATTTGTCATGGCATGATCCAAAAATTCTTTTCAGACCGAATTCTGCAGTTTGTCCTTAGATGACTCCGCCTCTGAAAAGTCCTAATGAGGCTAATGCTGCTGCAGCGAATGGTGCTGCTCTTTTTCCCCGAGTACTACAAGATTTTTAGAAGAAAGGATTTTTAGAAAAAAGGAAGCTGTATAATCGCGTAATGATATCAATTCTAATTCTTTTTTTTTGCGAGCGAAAGTTCGTTTTGTACTTGAAGAAGCCAATCGACCTCAAAAGTATAATCTTTTTTCCGTAAAATTCGATGAGAAATCAAGGTTGCAAAATAGGCTGGGTTGCTTCCACATTTCCACTAGGTTGTTTGGAAATAGTTCTAACTCACTGTTGACATCAAGCTCGAACTTTGGGAAGGGGACAAGAAATTCAATCGGAATGAATTTTTCTGCTGGTAGAACTTTCGATTCGTAATTGAAGATGATTCCATTTTCCAAAACTGTCTCAGATTGTTTATGTGGTTTGATGCCAGAGTTCCATTGAGCTGTGGTTGTGTTAGTCGCAAAGAGTGCTAAAAAATTTTCATTTAGTGTCCTTAACTGTACCTTACTTTTTCAGAAAATATTGGAATCATGAAATTATCTGTTGTTGCTCTTTGTTGCGTGCGTGTTTGCTTGTGAGGAAGTTATGCGGAGAGGCGGGACGATGTAATGTTGTCAATGGAAGTGTGTGAGGGAGGAGGGACAGTGCGTAGCGGACTTGATGGGCGGGTGCGAGAGTTGGAAGAGAGATATTAATGAACGGAGTGAAATGGGAGATGCTAGTTAAACATGTGCTTTGTTTTGTTGCCGTTTTGTGTTCTCTTCTTGTTATGGAAGTTAGTTTTTAGACGTGCGTTTAACTAGATTAGATTTGTAATTGTTAGTTGTAGATATACCTTTTAGTTTGTAATTATTGATTTTAAGCTTCTTTTGTTAGGTATACTGCACGTTGTGTCAATTTATTTTGACGGAATCAGTTTTTTCAATTAAGCCTCTTTTTTTCATGTTTGACGAGAACAGAACATGGAAAATGCATTGTGCACATCAGTGTTAATGGTTCATATTTGATGTTCGTGCATGTTTTTTTTGCATGGTTAAATATCATCTATTAGTGTTTATGTCTTGCTGCATGATATTATTGCAAGTATTTAATTTCAGATTATTGCGTGTGCAATGGTATCGTGCAATTGGTCTTTTTCAAACTCATTCCCTATGCTAACTGAAGAAAACATTCGTGGAAAAGGATGGAAACAAATCAAAACAATAATCGGGAAACGTTTCAAGACCTGGAAACCGAAAACTGAGAAAGGCAAACAAAATGGATTGGTAGATTGGGTCGACGAGGAAATTGACTGGTTCAAAAAACCGATAAAAATATTCGACCAGGAAGTTTTTAACATGAAAACTCCTATTATCAATTCACTGAAAAAAGTTGCTTAATGTCAAATAAGGAGCTTACAGTTTGAGTTTCTCAAATGTTTTCCCCGAAACGTATTTGCTCGTCCTCTATTTCTCTTTCTTCGTCGTCTCTTAGTAAATTCGAGTCGAACAAACACTTAGGCGTTGACATCGTCAACAATGATTCATAAGCATAAATGGAATTTACGGATGTGACATAGGGCCCACCTTAAGCTGGATGTACAGGTTTGATAATTTTTGTACACTGATGCGGGACGAAATGCGTATTTTCAAAACTTAGACTTTGTCCAAAACCTGAAATGTTTCTCTAATAAACAAAATGAGAAGAGT